CTCAACCCATGGATCTAGACCCTCTGGGGGTCAAATGACCCTTTCACAAGGGTTACCTGTGAGCATCAGAAAACACAGATTCCTATCAGAGGCAAAATTAGTTATGCAGTAGCAATAAAAATAATTTTATGGTTGGGAGGGGTCATCACAACATGAAGAATTGTATTTTTGTTTTGTTTTGTTTTGTTTTTCAAGACAGGGTTTCTCTGTGTAGCCTTGGCTGTCTTGGAACTCACTTTGTAGACCAGGCTGGCCTCAAACTCACAGAGATCCACCTGCCTCTGCCTCCTGAGTGCTGGGATTAAAGACATGGACCACCACCACCTGGTAAGGAACTGTATCAAAGGGTCAAAGCATTAGGTAGGTTGACAAGTACCACTTTACAGAAAGCATGATAGAAGGAAAACTTGGAGGCATCACAGAAACCAGATCTGAATGGGAAGAAAAGCAAAGCAGAAATTGATTTCATATAAAAATAAAAAATAAAAACCTACAAAAAGCCGGGCGGTGGTGGCGCACGCCTTTAATCCCAGCACTCGGGAGGCAGAGTCAGGCGGATCTCTGTGAGTTCGAGGCCAGCCTGGGCTACCAAGTGAGTTCCAGGAAAAAAAAAAGGCGCAAAGCTACACAGAGAAACCCTGTCTCGAAAAACCAAAAAAAAAAAAAAAACCTACAAAAAAAAAGTGACTCAAGAATTGTGTTCTAGCCGAGCAGTGGTGGTGTACGCCTTTAGTCCCAGGACTGAGGAGGCAGAAGCAGGCGGATCTCTATGAGTTTGAGGCTAGCCTGGTCTAGAGAGTGAGTTCCAGGACAGCCAGGGCCACACAGAGGTTTCCTGTCTTGAAAAACAAGCAAACAGAAAGAATTATGTTCTAGATACCTGGCAGACCAACAGGATTAACACATGATCAAGGCAATGGGAAGGTAACTTACAGTAGAAGACGCACATTTTATTTTAGAACCACGGAAATGAGTGAAGTAACAGATTTCACTCAGAAATGGTCTGGGCTAGGGATATAGTTAGCATTCACAACGCCCTACCTTATCTCAAACCAAACCAAACCAGGAAGGACTTAACTGAGAAGGAGAAAGGAGTACAGACAGACAGACAAGCTATCAGCAGTATAGAGAAACAGCTGAAAAATGAATAACCTACAAAGAACCCTACTAAAAGCTAAGTCCTACAGAAGCAGCTAAATATTGCTTTCATAAACTTGATACATAAAGAAACAGCAAACAAAGATGGAGGATAGAGGGACTGACATTAGACAGAGGCGGGGCTAACAAGGTGGAGGATAGAGGGACTGACATTAGACAGAGGCGGGGCTAACAAGATGGCTCAATAGTCAAGAGTACTTTTTCAAGGGTCCTGGATTCGGTTCCCAGGACCCAAATGGTGGCTCACAATCACGTGTAACTCCAGTTCCAGGGAATCCAGTGTCCTTTTCTGGTCTCTTTGGCACCAGGCACACAGTGGTGAACAAACACACAAGCAGACCAAGCACCATGTACACAGACATGATAAAAAGTTATTTTTTTTAACTAGGCAGATGATGCAGACAAGGAGGATGGTGATGTGCGCCTATAACCTTAGTCCTTGGAGGTTAAGGCAAGAGGAATGTGAATTGGGGAGCAGCCTGGGTAGGGGCTACCAACACCTTGTCTCAGCCAGCAATTAGGCGGCTAAGACTGGAGGATCTCCACAAGTTTGAGACCAGCCTAGGCTACCCTAGGAATAAAACACACACCACCACCACCATTACAGATCTACTGAGCAGGGACTGTCATTTAGCAACACCCTTAGGGGATTCTTAGCCTCCCTTAAGTCTGAGAAGCACACCTGGAACACAGTATTATTTAAACTGTTAGATCTCAACCCATAGTTAACAAAAACAACCTAAAATGGTTTGCTAACATGAGAGCATATCAAATAGTAAGCTCTATGGGTCAGGAGGTAAAATCTCTTAGTATAGGTTAATTTATTTAAATTTTAAAGGAGATTTATCTTACTTTTATGTGTGTTGATGGTTTGCTTGCATGTATGTCAGCGCAAGATGCACACGCAGTAACTGAGGAGGCCAGAAGAGAGCATGGGGTCCCCCGGAACTGGAGCTACAGACAGTCAGTCAGCTGTGTGTGGGGCTGGGAATCAAAGCTGGGTTCCCAAGGAAGAGCAGTCAGTGGTCTTAATGACTGAGCCATCTCTCCAGTGCTGTGGGATGGTCTGTATGTCAAATGTGTTGCTGATTGGTCAATAAATAAATCACTGATTGGTCAGTGGCCAGGCAGGAAGTATAGGCAGGACAAGGAGGAGAAAAAACTGAGAAGTGGAAGGCTGAGTCAGAGAGACACTGCCAGCCGCCATGATGAGAAACAGCATGTGAAGATGCCGGTAAGCCACGAGCCACATGGCAAGGTATAGATTAATAGAAATGGATTAATTTAAGCTGTAAGAATAGTTAACAAGAAGCCTGCCACGGCCATACAGTTTGTAACCAATATAAGTCTCTGTGTTTACTTGGTCGGGTCTGAGAGGCTGTGGGACTGGCGGGTGAGAGAGATTTGTCCTGACTGTGGGCCAGGCAGGAAAACTCAAACAACACTCCAGTCCTAAATTGTTTTTAAAAACACTAACAAAGTAGGGAAATAACCGCTCCTTGGGTACAGGTGGTGATGAGAAAGCAAAGCCCTCGTCCATTACTGTGTCTCAAACACTGGACAGCAAGTCACATTAAGGAATACATGTACTGGGGCTGAAGAGGTGGCTCAGCAGCTAAGAGCACTTACTGCTCTTGCAGAGGACTGGGATTCCATTGCTGGAAACCACATGGCCACTCACAATCACCTGTAACTCCAGTTCCAGGGGATCCAACATTCTCTCTGGATTCTTGGGGCACTAGACAGACATAATACACTGACAAACGTCCAGGGAAAACACCCACACAGACAAAACAAAGGTCCGTGTCGTCCCCCCCCCCCCCCCCCCCCCCCCCCCGTAAATCCACATGAACTAAAAACACCCACACAGACAAAACAAAGCCCCCCCCCCCCCCCGTAAATCCACATGAACTAGTAACACATGTGCAACAAAAAATGAAGCCCACCAGTACACCCTCTTTCATCTAGCAAAGCATAAGCACATATATTCTCTAACTTTAAACTATTAATCAACCTCTATACTTTGTGGTGTTGAGAATCAAAGGAAAGCTAGGCAAGTAGTCTAGTACTCAGATCCCGGCCTTCTTTCCCTTCCCTTTCTTGTCTTCCCTTCCAGTGTTTGAGACAGGATCTCTAGATGTAGCCCAGACTGGCCTCAAACTCCAGCCTCAGCCTCCTGAGTCCTGGAACTGCAGTCATCAACCATCATTAATATTTCTGTTTTTTTTGTTTGTTTGGTTTTTTTGTTTGTTTGTTTTTGGTTTTTTGAGACAGGGTTTCTTTGTGTAGCTTTGTGCCTTTCCTGGAACTTGCTTTGTAGACCAGGCTGGCCTTGAACTCACAGAGATCCACCTGCCTCTGCCTCCCGAGTGCTGGGATTAAAGGCGTGGGCCACCACCACCTGGCTGGTTTTTGGTTTTTTTTTTTTTTTTTTTTTTTGGTTTTTCGAGACAGGGTTTCTTTGTGTAGCTTTGCGCCTTTCCTGGAACTCACTTGGTAGCCCAGGCTGGCCTCGAACTCACAGAGATCCGCCTGACTCTGCCTCCCGAGTGCTGGGATTAAAGGCGTGCGCCACCACTGCCCGGCTTTTTTTAAGACAGGGTTTCTCTGTGTAGCTCTGGCTGTCCTCACTCTGTAGACCAGGCTGAAACTCACAGAGATCTGCCTGCCTCTGCCTCCCAAGCGCTGGAATTAAAAGGCGTATACCACCACCACCTGGCTAATAATTTCTATTTTTGAAACTGTTTGCAGAAGGGGGCTATTTGAGAGGAGGAAAGGGGCCAGTTCGTGGGAGATAAAAGAAGGTAATGATGCAGGGTAAATATGAGCAAAGCACAATGATACACATACATGGGGAAAAAAAACTCACAATGAGATCTATTATAGTACACTCTAACTAAAAACAACAAAAGTAAATAAAATGGTGCTTAAGACTCAAAGACCTACTAATGCATAGATTACCAATCAATTTTTGAAAAACATTAATCATCAATCTGCTCTCTGGCTTCAGTCCTTAATTAAAGAAGTTACTGGAAAGTTAACAACAGCTAACATATACAGTAACTGAAGACTGACTTACAGAGCTCTTAAGAGGTCAAACTAATGTCAGGCTGCATCAACTGTCAGTTTTGTGTCCGTCTAAACGTACAAAGGTAAAAACAGCAGAAAAGTCGATAAGGGTTTAAAACTGATGAACTAAAGGAGTTGAAGGAGACACAGTTCGAAGAACCAATGCGCCGGTAAGTAGCCGGCTTCAGCCAAAGCAGTGAGGCTGGTTCTTAATGTCCAGCTCAGACAAGAAGATGCCAAGTGGTCACCCTAGCGTAGCTACTGAAAGAGAGGTGAGATACTAACCTTGGCAACCACCAGCCAAGGCTCACAGTCTAGCTGCTGAGAGGCCCTCGCTTCCCAGACTAATGCTTCAGCGCTGTGCTTTGGAGGCAGCCTATGTTAGGGCCTGGGAGAGCATGCAACCCAGGCATGAAGAATGGGGGACAAAGCTTTTCTCAAAAATTTTGGAATGCGGAGTCAAGCTGCTGCCAGGCCTTCTCTATGACTACAAAGGCTCGAATACAGTGAGACCAGGACAAACGCTGCCTCCTTTTAGGTCACAGCATAGACCTGGCAAGGATGTAGGGAAGGCAAACACCCGAGGTCCTCAGGCGGGACCGGCTCAAAGCCTCCCGGGGTCCCCCTAGTTCCCATCACGCCTCGCGCAGGGCCCCGAGGGTGTCAGCCCTCCAAGTTCAGGAAAGGCATGATTTTCTTTCCCCGCCTCTCCCCTAAGACGCAGCGGCCAGCCCAGCACCACTGAGTCTTGGCAAGCCTGGTAACGCTCCCACCTTCACTTTAATTAGCATCTTCCTCCCAGGTTGGGCTGCAGGCGGCTAGAGTGCTGCTTCTCTCGCTGTGGTCGCCGCTGCCGCTTCCCAGCACTCCACGGCAAGGGACACTTCTGCTTCCGGGTCACTCTCCGGATCCACCCTCTCCTTTTTCCACCCGGTTCCCGAAAGGCTCAGGAATGCCCTCGTGTTTCGTGTCGTTGTAGAATAAAAGGCAAGCCGACTTAGGAACAGAACAGACGACGTCCTCAGACCCCCCGCGTGCTCAGGAACTGGGGTTAGCGGCCAGAGGCAGCAGAACAAACCACTTTTCCCATCATGCCAGGAGGCAGCTCCGACCTTTGCATCCTAGGAGTTGTAGTCCTCCCGCCGCTGGCACCCAACGGCAACCTCAGTGTGTGGACTCTGTTACCCAGAAGGCCTTGCACAGCGCCCGAAGCTGGAATTCCTTGGGTAGTCGGGCTTGCAATTAGCGGAACTTGTTGGTGTTGCCCTGAAGGCTCATCCGAGCTGCACGCGGCTAGTTGCTAAGCAAAAGAAATCTTTGGTCAACTGCCACCTGAGTCAAAGCAACAGGAAGTGAGTACCCCTATGCCGGAAACTGATTGAAATCTCTTTTCTTCTCCCCGACTAAGTCAGTTTCCTTCTCTAAACTGCCCTTTGCTGGGGCGGGAAAAGGAAGATTAGCCGGGTAAGGAATGCACCTTCAGAGATCGTAATTCTTTCCCTGTTCTCCCTAAGAATACCTGGGATTGAAGCATTTGGGTAATCCAGACAAAGGATGGTCCCAGTAAGATTTCAAGGACCACACCCTGACCTGATTTTATACAATTTAAGCAGGAGAGGTGACCCTTGTCCTAGCGTCATCAAGACATTAGGCCCATGGGGCACTTGGTTCCGTTCTTTACTTGTTACTTCCCAGTCTTACAACCCTCAAATTATTATCTAACTGCAGCCCTGCATCATGCCTCATATTGATAATGATGTGAAACTAGACTTCAAGGATGTCCTGTTGAGGCCCAAACGCAGCACCCTTAAGTCTCGAAGTGAGGTGAGCCAGCTGTCTTCTTGCTTTTTTGACCTCAGACTTCTGGTAGACCAGGACCAAGAAAGCTGCCCGGTTCTAATGTGATACATATTTTCTGGATAAATGAAATGCTTAATATCCTGTTGATGTCTACAGGTAGATCTCACAAGGTCCTTCTCATTCCGGAACTCAAAGCAGATATATAATGGCATTCCCATCATTGCTGCCAATATGGATACCGTGGGGACTTTTGAAATGGCTAAGGTTCTCTGTAAGGTGAGACTAACTTTACGCACCCTACCCAATGTTACCCCAGCAGGCTGCAGAGGCATTGCATTTCTTTTTTTGGTTTTTCGAGACAGGGTTTCTCTGTGTAGTTTGGTGCCTGTCCTGGATCTCACTCTGTAGACCAGGCTGACCTAGAACTCACGCCTGGCTCTGCCTCCCCAGTGCTAGGATTAAAGGCATGTGCCACCACTGCCGGCTGAGGCATTGCATTTCTACTCCCATTCTCTGGCAATAGACAGAATGTTGGGTTTACTAATTTTTTTTTCCATTACTAAGGACCCTTTATCACTTCAAAGATCCGTTTGAGTTGGTGAGATTCAGAATTTGATTTTCTTCCATTTTCTGATTAGTACCCCCCATAACTTATATACCTTACCAAATTCTTCCTGCATCCACCCAGGTCAGCCCAGTCACATGCATCTCTCCAGTCTGCCATTGTTTTGAACACTGAGCATTCATTGTTTAGTCCAGAAACGAAATACTGTTTTGAATATTTAAACATTTCTACCTGGAATATCCTAGAGAAAAGGAGCTTATTAGTTTTCTTGTATGCCTGTTATTCTTTTAATTTTCCCCCTCTTTAAGTCCTAGGTTCCTGGGAGTTTCTGAGATGTACCCCAAATGGAGTTTTTTCTTAACTACAGGTTGTTCCCTTTGAACATGGAAGCCCCTGCTCCTGTCAGTAACGTTGTTTGCCTCTATGCATGTAGCTGAGAAGGTAGCTAGTTGCCTGGGCACTTTTGAGAACATAATGTGCTTTGCTAGTCACCCCACGTAGCCCTAGTTGATTGGTTCTGTTTGTGGCTGTTAGCCTTAAGGGCTTTCTCGTCTTTCTGTTTTTGTAGAGTATTTGTTGTGCTTCCTCTGAAATTGATAATTACGGAGTTTTGTTTCTTTATTCCTGTCACCATTTACTAATTGTTCAGGACTCCTGCTCTTGTCTGTTGGCTGCCTTCTCTGACAGGTAGATTTGGGGAACGGTAAGTCTGTTGAAAGACATGCTGTAATATATGAACCTTACTGGGGACTGGATCTCAATACTGTGGATACTTTAGCCAGGCAGAGGTGGCACACACATTTAATCTCAGCACTCGGGAGGTGGATCCCTGTGAGTTGGAGGCTAGCTTGGCCTATAAATCAAGTTCCAGGACATCCAGAGCTGTTAGAGAAACCCTGTCTCAAAAAAACCAAAAAAATAATCAAACTTTAGAAAAATAGCCAAGTCTCGGTAATGATAAAAAAGGTCAGATACAAGCTAACTTTTTCTTAGGGTTGGTATGTGTTGGGTGTGTTTATTAGGCCAAATATCTCCAAGATCTGCTGACTACCTAGAGCTTTTGTTTATCAACATGTTGACTTTGAGTGTTACTGAGAAAGCAGAATACTGGCTTTTAAGCATAGAACTTCCTGTTGCTGATACATGACTTCCTTGGATTTCTCATTTGCAAGATTTGTGCTGTTTCAACCAACTTCTGACTCTTGTCTGGTTGCATGTCTGTGCTTTCAGAAAGCACAAACACCAGCATGAAGTGTCTTCTGAATGCCTTTCTCAGGGGGTATTGTTTGCAGTTCCATGAGCCAGAGGTTTTGAGCCTGATGAGTCTTTTTTTGTTGTTTTGTTTTCCTGAGACAGGGTTTCTCTGTAGCCCCGGCTGTTGAATCAAAGATCCGCCTGCCTCCGCCAGAGTGCTGGGATTAAAGGCTTGTGACACCACCACCCAGCGAGCCATTACATTTTTGAATTTACCTAAGATAGATGAAATTGATCTTTGCATGTTTTTGTCCCTAACTCCAGCAGAAAAAGGGATGGAATAGTATTTTGTTGCTCCACTGGTCTTAAGTCTTTAACTTTGTGTAGATCTATAGTTGGATTACTGCCAGCAAGTAAACCAGAAGAGAGAAAAACAGAGATTTTTTAGTTCGGGATCGCCTTAGAGCCAAGTGTAGACACGCACTAGCTCCGTCTAGCCTCCTCATACTTCTTCCATGCCTGCTACTTGTCCTGCTGTGCCAGCAGCAGCATGTCCCTGTCACTCTCTGGGTCACAAGCAATGTATGTGCCAGCAAGGTAAATCCAACCCCGCTCACAGGACTTTGATGGGAATACTTGACAAGTGCCAATTTCGGGTAAAAAGCTATACTGGAATCTGTAGGAAGAACAGGGGTTGAAGCAGCTCAGTCCTGAACTTCGTACTGTTTCTCTCTCAAATGCATATCTTCTCTGGGACAGTATAAAGGTAGATCTAGAAGTAGTCTTACGAAGCCTTTGCCCTTTTGATGGTTCTCTCTTCTCCTCAGTTCTCCCTTTTCACTGCCGTCCATAAGCACTACAGCATCCGTCAGTGGGAAGAGTTTGCCAGCCAGAATCCGGACTGTCTTGAGGTAACTCAGGGCCTACCCTGCTCCCTTATCAGTTTCCCAGGAACCCTGTTTTGGCTCTTAGAAATCAACCCCCACTGTTATTGACTGCTTACCAGGTGGGCCACTTCTGACGCAATGCCACAGGCTGGTCTAACGCTTTCTCCACAGCACCTGGCCGCCAGCTCTGGCACAGGCTCTGCTGACTTTGAGCAGCTGGAACAGATCCTGGAAGCTATTCCCCAAGTGAAATATATATGCCTGGATGTGGCTAATGGCTATTCTGAACATTTTGTTGAATTTGTAAAGGATGTACGGAAGCGCTTCCCCCAACACACCATCATGGTATGTTTCTCTTTTTTTCTCTTTTCCTGAGACAAGGTTTCTTTGTGTGGCCCTGGCTACCCTGGAACTCACTCTGTAAACCAGGCTGGCCTCAAACTCAGAGATCTGCTGCCTTCCGAGTGCTGCAATTAAAAGCATGTGCCATCACCCTCGGCTAGGTGTTTCTGTTACCCTACTCCTTTGTGACATTCAATTTTGTCATATCAGTATTTGTCCTCTGCTGCACCTTGTTTCTGTTCTACATGTTATTGTCGTGGTTCAAAGTTTTATATGTGTCTTAATCAGTGCAATCTCGGACCCTTAATTCATAGTCCGTCAACCCAGTGACTCTGATGTCACTTAAACATAATGGAAGCAGGTGTGGTGGTGCACACCTTGGGAGGCAGAGGCAGATGGATCTGGGTTCGAGGCCAGCCTGGACTAGAGTGAGTTCCAGGATAGCAAGGGCTACAGAGAGAATATCTGTCTCAAAAAACCAAAGGGTGGGGGGGGGGAACCCAACAAAACATGACGGAACATTTATACATTGCGTATGCCTGTGGCACATGTATGTCTGCCTACTGAGATGAACATGTGCTGCAATAATATAGTGTTACATGAAAGCCTGGCATTGTGACACCTATACATACATATAATCCAAGTATTTGGGAGGTAGCGGCAGGAGTTCAAGGCCAGCCCTGAGGTCTGTCTCAAATTAACAGCAAAAAGTATCACGTAAAACCATGTTTTATTTTTTTGGAGGCTTATTAGAGACAAAACCCAAGGCTTCATTTTCTTCACAGCACTGAAAGGAATGCCTGCACTGTCCCAGTACAGTTAGGCAGATGGATGTTTTAGCCCACATTTCAGTCTTTCCATTTTCTCTGAAGGCAGAGAGCTTCAGGACTGGGAAGGAGTGACCTGGTAGTGAAAGGGACCACTGTCAGATCTGAGTGGTTTCTCTGCCTCGCCAATAGCTCTTTAATACCACCTTGTCTTCTCATTGGTCAACTTTACTGCCTCAAAGGTCAACGATGACACTGGCCATACTTCATACTAAGTGGAAGTCTGAATGTGGGGGGAAGGGGTGAGTGGGCATCTAGGTCCCTTGAAGTTGGTGAAGGGTCCTGTAGAGGGGCTCTAGTACCCTTTATTTGTAATAGGACAGTCGTAGTCAGGGTATCTGAGCGCACAAAGGCTGCTCTCCACCGCTGACCCTAAGGATGGTCTCTTTTTATTATGTCTCAGGCAGGAAATGTGGTAACAGGAGAGATGGTAGAAGAGCTAATCCTCTCTGGGGCTGACATCATCAAAGTGGGAATTGGTCCTGGTAAGCTGGTTCCCTGGGGCCACCGTTTTGTTTACCCCTTTGGTGGAAACCATGGAACACTTCTCTCACCTGTCATGCCCTTCCCAGGCTCTGTGTGTACAACTCGGAAGAAAACTGGAGTGGGGTACCCACAGCTCAGTGCGGTGATGGAGTGTGCAGACGCTGCTCATGGCCTCAGGGGCCATATCATTTCAGTAAGACCCAGAAGCTGGGGAGGGTTTGAAGCTGCTTAACAACTGTGTTTTCTGTAGTGTGGGGCTCCAGTAAAGTCCTGCTCAGGACCTGAACTCTTGTCCATTTTGACATGGGCAGTTGTGAAGCCTTGAGGAGTCCATGCTGTCTCTCACAGTGTTTGTTACTTTGTAGGATGGAGGCTGCAGCTGTCCTGGAGATGTGGCAAAGGCTTTTGGTAAGGAGACTGGGAGAGCACAGGAGGGTCCTGTAAGTCACCTCTGAGGGTCTAGGGTCAGGCTGGCAGCAGCTCAGGAAGCCATTCAGATTCATACTGTGAGCTAGTGAGTCTAAAACCTGAAACCTAAAGTGTCACCTGTGACAAGCTAGCAGAGGGAATCCTGAGATTTTGACTCTCCCAAGCATGAGCCAGGGCCACCTCTGCTATGCCACAGATTGTTGGACAATGTAGACCTCTGAGCCCCACATCCAACCTCCAAAATAACCCTGAGGAACAAAACTGCCAATCTTCATTTGTCTGTTTCCCAGGTGATCCATAAAATTGGAGACTATCCTCTTGGGACTAAAGTCACCCTGAGCTGGGGAGCAGTAAAATGGCATCACCGGAAGATAGGAAAAGCAGAAACCAGTCAGGGAACTTCTGGGTCTGTAAAAACCTTGAGGAAGTTAGTCCCACTGGGGAGCAAAGGCAAGGGCAGAACAGCCCCCAAGGAATGTGGATCAGCTATGCCAACAGACCCAAGAAGCTGCTGGTGGTCTGTGGAAAACAGACACAACTGACTTTGAAGGTGGCTATAGGGTACCTTAGCCAGATGCATCTTTTCCAACTCCTTGACTTTTGACAGGGGCAGGGGCTGACTTTGTGATGCTGGGTGGCATGCTGGCTGGGCACAGTGAATCAGGTGGCGAACTCATTGAAAGGGATGGCAAGAAGTACAAGCTCTTCTATGGAATGAGTTCTGAAATGGCGATGAAGAAATATTCAGGAGGTGTGGCTGAGTACAGGTATGTATGGAAGGCTAGCACATGAGTGTTGTTGGTGAATGGGACTATGGAAAATGGTGTCATGCCTCCTGGGAAATGTAGGGCACCATTCTTGGGAGAAAAATGGTGAAGGGGTTATAAATGTTAGAGACAGGAAGAGTCACTGGGCTTAAGGAATTCTATTACCAAGTAGGTAATAAAAGTTTCTCTTTTCTAAGGGCCTCAGAGGGAAAGACAGTAGAAGTTCCCTTTAAAGGAGATGTGGAACATACTATTCGTGACATCCTAGGAGGCATCCGGTCTACATGCACATACGTAGGAGCTGCTAAGCTGAAGGAATTAAGTCGGAGAACTACCTTTATCCGAGTCACCCAGCAAGTGAATCCAATCTTCAGTGATTCCCGATAGACTGGAGAAGTCTACTTTCCCCAGGCAGCAACACTCTACCACTGGGGCCTTCCAAAGGGGCTTCTCACCCATCCCAGCTACTGTGGCTCTGTGTTACTTAATCCAGATCCTATCATCTCACTCCTGAGTGCTCCTGTAGTCACTCAGGCTTTCTGCACACACGAACTGCTAAGGGCACTCACTGGGGAAGAGGCAAGGAAGATGCGAGATTAACAGATGGGAATCTGGGGACAGCATCCTGAAGATTAGGAGGAAAGATGCTGATTGATAAATGACAGGCCTTGGTTTGGAAAAGGAAGGCTTTTGGAATCATGTTAATCAGCTTCATTAAATGAGATCATCAAATACCTAAACAGTTTAGAAGTACTTAAATATTTTAAATAACCCTAATAAAGATAGATCCTACTGATGGTAAGAAGAGGTGCTGGGCTTTCTGCACAGGCTGGTATCTAGACGCTCCTCCTGGGCAGACATGGGAGTAACCCTGACCCAGTGGAATCGAGAACAATGAGTGTTATTCTCATGAAGCATCCACATTCTGGTGTCACCAACACAAGATAACTTAGTAGCATGAACATTTACAAAGTATGTCCTGGCATTAGGGAATGTTGTTAGAACAGCATTAATGATTTCCAGGCTCTCTCAATTCTGGTAACCCTTCTAGATAAATCTGAACAGGAAGGGCTTCAACAAGCTCTAGAGAAGCCAGTTATGTTCCTGATGAATGGCCTACACAGACCTAAGTCTTAATTCCCCTTCTTTTCATCATGACAGAGTAACACATTCAAGTTTTAATTTTCAAGTATTTACAAAGCCAGGCAACTCAGGTCTGGGCTTCCTCTCCATTTCCACTGAACTGCATGCAGAGCTGCAGAGGCAGATGGACAGTGCGAAGGACATTCCAGTACTGTTACAGGACCTGAGAACTGTTTATCTGGCCAGGAATGAACAGGCAGGACTTGGCATGTAGTCACAAAACATGGGGATAAAGGTGTCAAACTTTGTCTTCTGATAGTTTTTCAGAGACTCCTATGGAGAAGGAAGCATAATTCCTGTAACTGGAACCCCCTACCATGGATTCCTACCTTGCTCTGCCCTCCTCTAGCTCAGCTTTCAGCTTCTTCCTCCTCACCTTTCCTTCCCTCTGGTCACTTTCTTCCTCTTCAGAGTCCAACACCAAGTCCCCTATGGTAATGACAGGGCTACACAGAGATGGGGACGGCACTGCAGGGAAGAAGCCACAATGAGACCCAGACCATCCTCTTATGTGAATACAGGCCCCGAAAATCCCCAAAGGCAGGCTGGCTGACCCAGTCCTGACTCGGCCCACTTACCTGGTTTCTTGGCTCTAGGAGGTGATAGGGAGAGACTTAGAGGGTCCATGTAGCAATTCACAGAGTTCCTGAGGTGGAAACAAGGGAAAAGGTGGGGTGAAGAAGGGAAGTAGGCAAGGAGCGCTCCTAAGGAAGAAGGAGAAGCAATTCTTACTCCTTGGGCTCTGCAGCGGGTGAGGCAGGCGGGCTCTCCTCTGGAACCCTTTTCCCCAGGCCCTGAGATGCTGGCTTAGACTTCCCGCCGGAAACGGTTTTGGTGCCCACAGAACCTGCTGTGCCCACTCCATGCTCTTCTCTGCCTTTAGGGTTAGCTCCGTCTTGGGCTGGTAAGTCCATATTCCTGAAGGGGAGCAGCATGACTGTAGGCCGCTCTTTATGGCATCCCTTTGCAGAGGTCCATTGTGATCGGAATTTTCGCTGTCCTAGAGGGGCCAGATTAAAGCGGCTGCCAGCTAAATGTTCTGGGTGCTCCCGTGAAGCTGGTTGGTGAAGGCCAAGCTTAGCTTTAGGCAGAGGACTGTGGAGTGCTGGTTTTGTTTGCTGGTGAGGACTCTGTTCCATGGGTTCTGTCAGATTCACTGAGCCAGAAGCAGAGCTCTCTGAATGATAAAATAAGATGCCTTATAAAATTAGTAATAGGTTAACTCGGTCAGGTTCGTGTCTCAGGTCCACATAATTTCTAATCGGCTGACTCAGGTTTGGTCAAGCTAAACACTAACCTCCAAACTTCCAGTTATCCCGATGGTTCTCTTACCTGGAAATGGCCATCCCATGTCCATACCATACTGGTGCAAAGCAACAGAAGAGGTGACCAGACAGCCAGGCTGAACCCAACTTAGAGCATCCTGAAGCTGTGGGCAAGATAGGTGACAGCTATGTGCATCACAGTTCTCGGCAAGGCCACCCCACATTCCGCCCGTAAGGTGTCTTGTCTCAATGACCTCTTGTTCTTTGACTGCAGGCAGTGCTTTTTCTAGCTGACACAAGTATTCAAAGAACAGCTTCTCCATGGCAACCAGAAAGGGTTCCCCATATTCTTGTTCGAGTTCCTTTATGTGGGAAAGAGAAGCAGGTCAGATGAGTTTTAGGAAAAACAGACATCACATAGTACATCCTCCGAACCAACCGTTCTCACCTGCAGGCTGGAGGCCAAATCCTCAGTCTCTGCCAGCTGCTTCACATGCAGGCAAAAACTTTCCCGTGCCTCCGAAATCTTCCTATCTTGCTTTGTCTGTTGAGATGGAAGACAGAAAAATTGGGAGGTGGGGGTGTCACCAGGACCCAGGGGCAACTTGGTGGCATCCCGCCTAATGAGTATGCGCTGTCGAGGGGATTACTCACAGCTGCGGGGTCCAGTGGCACTGATCTCTGGGGATGGGTCTCTGGGAAGTGATGATTCAGGGCATCCAGGACCTGGGCCCAGGGTTGCCCCTGCAGGATCAACTCCACCACCACCTGCACGGTACTGCGCTCAGAATTCCTACCCTTTTCCAAGCGGTCTTCATCCCAACCTTAGTCGGCCTTCCTCGGGTCCTCGCAGCCCGCCCGCCCGCCCCTTTACGTTCTACTCTTTCTCGTACCTTGGCTTTTAGGCCCATACACAGGCGTTCATGGTGTCGGTAGCAAACCAAGCCGGGGGCAGCAGCGCGCAGGGACTGCAGGAACTCCACCACTCTGGGGAAGTGCTCGACGCAGCGGCGGCGGACCACCAGCCAGCTGGCGGCAGCTGCAAACCGCAGGGACGCGGGACCCACCCCGGGGGGTGGAGCCATGGCCCGGGCACCCTTTCCCCTGCGCCCCTCTCGCCCTGCCCGGCCTCTCCCGCAGGCGGAGCTTCGGGGCTCTCGTCTGCACCGGAAGGTCGGCGGACTGGCTGGGATCCTTTCGGCAAAACACCGGAATTCTGGGCTCTCCTCCCAGGCGGTGACTAGGTAGACGAACCGACCCAGCCCGCTAAGCTTAAAACGGCGCCACTTGCCGGACTGCGCGGGTGCGTCACTTCCGACCGAGCGCGCCGCTTTCCCGCCCCGGAAGGGGCCGCGGCGGCACCTGTGACGTCAGCGAGGACCCCTGGCCCTGAGCCGATGTCTGTCGCGCCTCTCTTCCCGTTCACACGTCTCCCCGGGGCTTCCGTACAGCCAGCCGCCTGAACCGGCACCCGCCGAGCCTTTCCTGGGCCGCGAGCCGCTCCCCCCAAGAATTCGGTCGTTCCCTTCGCCAAACAGAAGAGGGCGCTCGCGTTCAAAAAACCAAATACACCGCTGGCGAGGCGCTCGGCCGCCGAGCGCTCGCCCGTCCGCCCTGACTCGCCAGCCCCTCACCAGGAAAAGGCCCCTTGAAGTACCTACTGCACTTAGCCAGGGGGTTCCTGGACGCTTTTGTGCTTTTCTGTGCCACATCTTCGCTGTTTCGTGTGGTTTCGAATATTTAAAGATTCCTCTTCCAAGTTTCTTTGAGCGCTAACTTGAGTCCTTCAGTGAACTGACTGTTTTCCCTGTCCGTCTCCTTGCCCTAGTTCCTGGAGCCCCTTACTGCCATCCCCAAAGACAGGACCGACCGGTCACGCTGTCCTTGTCGACACTCTTTGTTTTGTTTTGTTGTTTTTTTTTTGGTTGTTGTTTGTTTTTCGAGACAGGGTTTCTCTGTGTAGCTTTGCGCCTTTTCCTGGATCTCACTTGGTAGCCCAGGCTGGCCTCGAACTCACAGAGATACGCCTGGCTCTGCCTCCCGAGTGCTGGGGTTAAAGGCGTGTGCCACCACCACCCAGCAACACTCTTACTTTGTTGATTGCATTCATTACCTGCTTTGCCCACCTTACAGGCCTTTCAGGAAACCTGCCCGTTCTTCCGATGGTTTCTTCCATTCCCAGACTCAAGGCTCACATGTTGCCTGCATCCTCCAGATCAGTGTTCTGAGCTCAGCCAGACCTGGTACCAAAGTACACATTGGATAGTAAAGTTGTAGTTGATTTCTTTCATCCTTTTCTGTCTTTTATTTATGCAAATCTGAATTTCTGACCTATATCATTTCCATATTTTTCTAAAGAATTTTCCTCACAGTGGCGCACACCTATGAATCCCAGCGTGAGGGGAGATGAGGGCAGACACCTTCTTAGGAGTTCAAAGGCCGACTTGTGCTACATAGAAAGACTTTCCCGGCCTTTGGGGGGAAAAAAAATTCTAACATCTTACAGGCAACCTTGCTGGTGACAAATTTTCTTAATTATTGTTTCAGAAAGTATTTCGCTTTGAAAGAGAATTTCTCTGAATACAATTATAGGTTGGTGGGCTTTTTCCTACAGTACTGTAAATATTTCACTATACTACCTTGTTGCTTGCATGGTTCTGAGTGGAAAAGTCCATTCTAGTTATCCGTTGTTTTTAAACCTGAGAAATTCATTTCCTTTTTTAAAATTAGTACATATTAACTTAATTCTTTCTTTTGAGATTTTATTTATTTTTATTTAATGAATGCCAGTGTTTTGTCTGAATGTGTGTCTGTGTACCATGGGTGTGCAGTGTCCACAGAGGACAGATGGATATTAGGTCCCCTGGGACTGGAGGTACAGATGGTTGTGAGCCATCATATGGATGCTGGGACATGAACCCAGGTCCTCTGTCAGATCAGTCAGTGCTCTAAACTGCTGAGCTGTCCCTCCAGCCCCTTGGTTTAATTCTCTTTTTAGATTATTTATTTATCTTTATTTTGTGTACATTGCTGTTTTGCCTATGTATATGTCTGTGTGAGAGTGGATCCCCTGGAACTGGAGTTACAGGTAGTTGTGAACTGCTATGTGGATGCCATAGGAATTGAACCCAAGTCCTCTGGAAGAGCAGCCCATGCTCTTAACTGCTGAGCCTCCTCTCCAGTTCCCCTTAATTTCTTTACTTTTTCTTTTTTATTTATTTCTATTTTTTTGTATGAGTTAATTTAATTCTTTTTTTTAAAATTTTTTTTTTTTTTTTTTTGGTTTTTTGAGACAGGGTTTCTCTGTGTAGCTTTGCGCCTTTCCTGGAACTCACTTGGTAGCCCAGGCTGGCCTCGAACTCACAGAGATCCACCGGCCTCTGCCTCCCGAGTGCTGGGATTAAAGGTGTGCGCCACCACCGCCCGGCTAAATTTTTTTTTTTATTTTGCGAGTTAATTTAATTCTTAACCTTGATGGTCATTAGACAGTGTTCCCTGGCCTGCTTTTCTCCTCTACTCTCTGCTTGTTTCTGTATTTTGTGTGTGTGTCTTTGATTTTGTGTATGTGCAGTCTGAGTATCATTTAGATCTGTGTTCGGGTTTATTCCGCTTGCTAGTCTGAGTTTTCTGGATCTGTGTTTATGTCTGACATTGTTTTTGGACAGTTCTGTCATTGCTTCCAAGATTCCTTCATCATTTGTCCTCACGGGGTGTATGTGCTGCATGGCGGGAGATGAAACACCACCTGTTGATCCCAAACCGGACCACAGTGACAGAGCAAAGTAATGATTCTGTCCAAGTCTAGTTTGGTGACTCTGGGTGTTTACTCACAGGAGCGGAGATGACCCCCAAACAGCACGTCACCGAAAAGACTCACCCTGACATGAATGACAGCTTCTCCACAGCTGTGCAGACGGAAGTCTCTTTTCAGTTAACCTTCCACATTCTATACTGTCATCTCCAAAGACACATGCAGCTGGGGCAGAATTCCACACAGCTAGGAGGGAGGCACGGGAGAGAGGGGGCTGGACTCTGGTGAGGGTCTCAGGCCTCTTCCCACCACTTTATTCCCTGGAGGAATATGAACAGCATCCAGCTGGCTCTTATAGGAAGTTGCTCTGGTTAAAATAGCAATGGCTGTTCTCAGAGGACAAAATTCCACAATCTTAGGCTACACCTTTGTAGTGTAACACTTCTTGGGTATTATATCTTTTTCACCTTTGTTTATTGTTTGCATTTCATTTTAGAAACATTTTAGCTTTTTAGACAAGTTTTTTTGTTTTGTTTTTGTTTTTCAAGACAGGATTTCTCTGTGTAGCCCTGGCTGTCCTGGAACTCACAGAGATTCTCCTGCCTCTGCCTCCCAAGTGCTGGGACTAAAGGTGTGTGCCACCATTGCCCAGCTTTTAGACAAATTCATACATATATACATTTTATATATATATATATATATATATATATATATATATATATATATATATATATATATATATACATATCTCCCTCAAACTTGCTGTTGTGCGATGTCTTTCTGTATGCTGTGAATATGTGTTGCTATGACTGGTTAATAAAGAAGCTGCTCTGGCCTATGGCAGTTCAGGTTATAGCCAGGTGGGAAATCCAAGAGAGAGACAGGAAGAAGAAAGGCAGAGGCGGGAGAGACACCAGCCTGCCGCCCAAGGAGCAAGACGCCAGTAGACTGGTAATGCCACAGTCATGTGGCAAAACAGATGAATAGAATAGGGTTGATTTAAGATGATAGAGCTAGCTAGCAAGGAACTTAAGCCATTGGCCATACAGTTTGTAATTAATATAAGCCTCTGAATGATTGTTTTATAAGCGGCTGCGGGACCTCAGGGATGGGTGGGACCAAAGAAACTTCTGGCTACAACTTGCTATGTAGGCAAGGATGTCCTGGAACTCCTGACCCTGCCCTCTGCCTCCCAAGTGCTGAGGTTACAGGTGTGCACCACCACTCCTGGCTTATGTGGTGCTGGTGCTCTGTGCATGCTGGGTAAGTACTCAGCCACCTGAGCTACATCCTGAGCCCTAGTTTTGGGTATTTCCATTGACAATTATTTCTTCACACTCAGTGATGGTTCAATCAGTTGAGTAGCCTGGGCACTCTTTGTTCCTGTAACGACGTTGTTTCCTTTTGGTTCATTCTTAGAATTTCCTCTCTCTGTTCATATTACCTACCTGTTCTTCCTTGTCGTCCACATTTCCTGTCAGAAGCAGGAGTATACTGGCCATAGCTTTGAAATTTTTGGTATAATATTCCATTATGTCTGCCATATCTGAGTCTGGTTCTGGTGCTTGCTCTGCCAATTCAAACTGTGTGTAGGTTTTGTTTTCCTTTTAGTGTGTCAAATAATTTTTTTGTGAAACTTCAGACGTGTGGATTAAAGGAATTGAGGACGTCAGTCTTTAGTGCAAGGTTTTTGTGTGTATTTGGCTAGAGGTTAGGCTGTGTTTACTGTTCACTGCCCCTGTAGATGTTACAGACTAAAATTCCTCTAGTACTTTTTATTATTGGCACATCTCTTGTCTTTGAAGTTCTTAGATTTTGCTTTTGTTGTTTTTTTTTCTTTTCAACTATTTCTATTTTATGTATATGAGTGTTCTGCCTGCATGTATGTATGTATGTGCACCGTGTGCGTGCCTAGTGTCCATGGAAGCCGGAAGAGGGTGTCTCATTCTTTGGAACTGGAGCTACAGACTCTTGTGAGCTGACATGTGGGTGCTGGGAACCAAATCTTGGTCCTCTGCAAGAGCAGCAAATGCTCTTAACTGCTGAGCCATCTGTGGTAGTTTGAAAGAAAATGGCCCCCAAAGGGAGTGGCACTATTTTAGGAGGTATGGCCTTGTTGGAGTAGGTGTGATCTTATTGGAGGAAGTATATCACTGTAGAGGTGGGTTTTGAGGTCTTGTATATGCTCAAGACACCACCCAGTGTCTCAGTTGACTTCCTGTTGCCTTTGGATCAAGATGTAGTACTCTCAGCTCCAGCACCATGTCTGCCTGCACACCACCATGTTGCACCGTGATGATAATGGACTGAACCTCTGAAACTGTAAGCCACCCAATTAAATGTATTCCTTTATAAGAGCTGCCATGGTCATGGTGTCTCATCACATCAGTAAAAACCCTAACTAAGACACCATCTCTCCTCATTGTTTTTTCTTGAGACAGAATCTCATGTAGTTCAGGCTACCCTGAAACTAGCTGTGTACTGAGGCTAGCCTTGAACTTTCCATCCTCGTATTTCTGTCTCCCAAATGCTGAGGCTTTAAATATGCATCACTATGTCTGGCTTCTAGAAACTTCTTAACATCCAAGATGTGCCATTCTTTCCCTTATATTCCTGTTGTTATACGAGAGCTCTTATTTGTTTTTTTCTTTTTAAATTTTTTATTTTTTCTTGGGTGCACATGCACCATGATGCACACACGGAGGTGAGAAGACACATTTGGGGAACCAGTTCTTTCCAGCCACTTTTACATGGGTCCCCGGGATCAATCCACAGCAAGTGCTTTTTGCCTGCTGGGTCATCTCACCAGAACCTCCAAGAGCTCTTGTGATTAAGGGGGGAGCCTGAGAGGGTAGGGTGGTGGGAGCATTCTATTGTCCTACATTAGGTAGGTGTCATTTAGAGTTTGTGCTAAGAGCTGTGACTCTCATAAGTATTTCTTAGGCCCATATATCCTAGTCTTCTTCCAGGGAACACAGGAGAGCCAGAGTAGGCTGGAGTTGAGTGCCCCTTGTGAAAGGTGGGAGGAACTAGAGCGAGGAACTTCCCCTTTTCCAGCTTAACTAGGCTTTTAGTGACCCCAGATATAGTCAGTCAGTCTCTGTCTCTGTCTCTGTCTCTGTCTCTCTCTCTGTATGTGTGTGTGTGTGTGTGTTTCTTTCTTTTTAAAGATTTATTTAGTTTATGTATATGAGTGCTTTGCATGTATGTATGTGCACCAAGTGTGAGCCTAGTGTCTGCAGAGGTCAGAAGAGGGTTTGTGATCTCCTGAACTGAAGGTTACAACTGGCTGAGCCACCATGTGGGTGCTGGGAACTGAACCTCAGTCCTCTGGAAAAGCACCCAGTGCTGTTAACCACTGAACAATCTCTCCAGCCCTGGAGTTAGTTACTTTTGAGGGCAGACCTTGTTAAGAGTGGAATGGAGCTGGAAGCAGGGCGGTGGTGGTGCACACCTTTAATCCCAGCACTTGGGAGGCAGAGTAGGCGGATCTCTGTGAGTTCGAGGCCAGCCTGGTCTACAAAGTAAGTTCCAGGACAGGCTCCAAAGCTACACAGAGAAACCCTGTCTTTTTTTTTTCCAAATAAAAGTCATTTTATTTATTTTTCCTTTTTCGAGACAGGGTTTCTCTGTGTAGCTTTGGACCCTGTCCTGGAACTCACTCTGTAGACTAGGCTGGCCTTGAACTCAGAGATCCGCTTGCCTCTGCCTCCGGATTAAAGGTGTGCGCCGCCACCCAGTAAAAAACAGATAAAATAGAGAAAAGAATTCTCAACAAAGATATCTCCATGGCCTATAATTCTGCGGTTTGAGGATAAATTCTACTAAGCAATTACAAAAGACAAGCTAGCTGCTGCATTGAGAACCTTAATGTTCAAACTGTATTCTAAAGCAACAACATCCTAGACTGTTTTGTCACAAGATGAACTTGACAGTGAGCAGTTAGTTTACAAAACCAATTAAAACCAAATACCAGCTACATCAGAAAACGATAAAGGAATTAATTTAAAGTAAATATGTATTTTCTTTTATTTATTTATTTTCTTTTATTTTTTCAGAGAGCTATGTTTTACTTAAGTTGTGTAAGTGAGATTCCTATTCATCTTCCCCTTCACTGTTTGATTTATGGCAGACATTTTTCTATAGGCTAATCCATAATCTAATAAGATTGTAGCCTCCCCTCCTGAAAGTACAGCCAGCATTTTCTTTCATCAGCTTGATACAGTACAAATTCTTATCCTAATAGTGAAATGTTTCACTAAAGCTTGCCCAGTGATTGGACAAAACCAAAACTTATTATAAGCCACAGTCATCCTAGGGTCCTCCCTGCTAGGTTGCCTCCCTGGATCTATGGGTTGCAGTCTTGAAAAATCCAACAACAAAAAAAATCTCTTAGAAGTTGGGGACTGGAGAGATAGCTCAGTGATTAAGAGCGCATAAAGCTTGGACTATGATGGACGGATTGGGAAAAAAGAATTTGCTAACAAGTCAATCATACAAAGAATGCAGAGGACCCAGGTTTGGTTCATAGCACCCACATGGTGGCTCACAACCATCTGTGACTCCAGTTCCAGGGGACCCAATGCCATCTTCTGATCTCTAGGGGCACTAGGCATGTGCACACACGGTACACATACATACATGTAGGCAAAACTCCCATACACATAAAATAATCTTAAAAATAATTTTAGTACATGCACATAATCATTCATCATCCCATATACTTTATTATTTATTTTTTTGAGATAGTGTTTCTAGGTAGCCAAGGCTGGGCTCAAATTTGAAATCTTCCTGCCTCTGCCTGCCAACTGTTAGGATTATAGGCATGGGCTACTATACCACCCAATCTTCTGGATACTTCCATTTTTGTCTACATTTATTTATTTGTGGGTGTGTGTGAGGGAGGGTCATGTGCATGCTATAGCACTTGCATGGATGTCAGAGGACAGCTTGCTGGTGTCAACTCTCTCTTTCCACCACGGGAGGGTCCAAGGAATCAAACTCGGTTGTCAGGCTTACCCAATAAGCCATCTAGCTATTGTTTTTGGACATTTTTAAGCAGTTCAAGATTACTTAGCATAAAAAAACAACAGAAAACAAGCCTGTTACATTTTAAAAATTAGCTGCTTTCAAACAAACAAAAACAGCCAGGTGTGGCAGAGGCAGGGGCAGGTGAATCTCTGTGAGTTTGAGGCCAGCCTGGTCTACAGAGTGAGTTCCAGGACAGCCAGGACTGTTACACAGAGAAACCTTGTCTCGCAAAAACAACATGAAACAAAAAACGTGTGTCACTATGTAGCCTTGGGCTGGCCTCCAGCTTGGAGATCTGCCTGTTTCCGATTCTGGGTAGGGGTTTAAAGCAATGGGCCGCCACACCCGGCTGTGTCAGTCACTTTTAAAGTCGTATGAAAGCTGCTAATTTAGAGTAAGCTTAGGTCTCAAAGCTGGGACAAAGGCTGAGGTGCCTACTTAATGTATCAAAGTGGACCTGACTGACCACCAGGTTGTCCCAGCATCTCTCAGTCCCTACCTGTTACAGGGCATGCCTGGCTGGCATACCCCACCCTCTACCCTGCCCTCTCCAGCCCAGGAGTTGGGCTGCCCTTCCCCTAGCAGTTCTTCCCCATACAATCCAGTCATTTTAGCTATGCCAGCCCTTTTTACCCTTTACCCTCCTGGCCTCTTGGTCTGCCTCTCCTGTCTCCTATACCCCCACTCCTCACAAGGCCTGGCTCAGGGTCACGCTCACTCTGGACTCTCCCACATGTCTCTACCTCTGGCTATGTTCTCCCTCATAGCTACAAAAGTTTTTCCTCCTCCACACCTAGGAGGAGTCATGTCCTCCTTTTTTTATTTCTTTTTTCCCCCCATCCACTTATAAATTGAAACAATATGAAAAGCCTGATGCCATGAATACATAACATTCCATGAAAAATACATGGGGGCGGGAGAGATGGTTCAGTGGTTGAGAGCACCTGTTGCTTTAGCAGAGGATTAATGTTCAGCTCCCAACACCACATAGTGATTCACAGCCTCAGCTCCAGTTCTAGGGCATCTGATGACCTCTTCTGACCTCCACAGGCACCAGACATACACACGGTACACATACATACATGCAGAAAACACACACACATACATAAAATAAATCTAAAAGAAAAAAATTTAGCCAGATATGTGAGTTTTTAATATAGCACTTGGGGATCTGGGGCAGGAGGATTGCAAGTTTGAAACTTGGACTCTGATGGGCAGATTGGGAAAGAGAATTTGCTTCAAGCCAGTCATACAAAGAGTTAGATATATACTGTGAGGTACCTGGTGAAGGGCTTCTCCAGGAGAGGATGAAGTCACAGAGTCCCTGAAACAGAAGCACAGCCAAGAAAGCCAAAAGGTGAAGGCCAGACAAGGACCGAGACTGGAGGCGAGGAAGAAACAAGTCACAGGCGGTGGTGGCGCACGCCTTTAATTCCAGCACTTGGGAGACAGAGGCAGGGGATCTCTGTGAGTTCGAGACCAGCCTGGGCTACAGAGTGAGATCCAGGGCAGGCTCCAAAGCTACACAGAGAAACCCTGTGTCAGAAACAAACAAACAAAACAAAGTAACAAGTCATAAGCACCGGCTTAGCCCGGATTTGAGCAGAGGGTTGATGTGATCATCCACCGCATTCTGGGGGGTGGCTGAGTGAGGGGTAAAGAAGAGGCAAGTGGGGAGAGTAGCCAGGAAGCTCCAGGCAATGATGCAGGGAAAGGATGAAGTGGGAACAGCCAACTCCTGGGCATACACGTGGAAAGACAGAACCATCAGACTCGCCCACAGACTGGCTGTGGGACGTAGAAGAATGGAAAGAATCAAGAGGCCAGACGGCGGTGGTGGCGCACGCCTTTGATCCCAGCACTCTGGAGGCAGAGCCAGGTGGATGTCTGTGAGTTCCAGGCCAGTCTGGTCTCCAGAGCGAGATCCAGGACCGGCACCAAAACTACACAGAGAAACCCTGTCTGGAAAAAACAAAAAAACAAAAGAAAAAGGAGCAACTTCACTCCTTCAAGTGCAAGGATTTGGGGAAGCAGAGCTGTCATTGACCACGACAGGAGTGGCTGCAGCAGGGTGTCATGGAGGGAGCCACACCTGGGCGTCCACCGGACATCCGGTAGAGGTATAAGAAGGCAGGAGAGAAGCAAGTTGGAGAGCTAGTGGTCCTTAAAATCAGGGAATGGTTAAGATTGTGTAGGAAGGTATAGCTGGATGAGAAGTGGCATTTCAGGGGAGCTCTGAGTCACTTACCCAGCACCCCGTGGCTGAGCGGAGAGGAGGCTGCAGCCACTGAGACTCAGAACCTGAAAGTGGCCTGGGAGCAAGACTATCACCTTGTCTTCTTCTTCTTCTTCTTTTTTTTTTTTTTTTGATGGGGGGAGGTTGTTTTTGTTTGTTTTTGAGACAGGGTTTCTACTATGTATCTCTTGCTGCTCTGCAACTTACTGTGTAGACCAGGCTGGCCTCAGAAATCTACCTGCCTCTGTCTCCTGAAGCACTGGAACTGAACGTGTACTTGAACTGGGATTGAACATCATGCTTGGCTGCTTGCTGGCTTTTTTGAGGTAGGATCTTGACGTGTAGCCCAAGCTCACGATTCTCCTGCCTCAGGCTTCTGAATGCTGCCATGTGGCGCATATGTGGGGTCAGAGGACGACTCGTGGGACCTGGAACGGGCTCCCTCCTTCTACCCGGCGGGTCCTGGGATGGAACTTAGGTCGTCGTCAGTCTTGAGAACAGCATCTTCCCCTACGGACCCACCCTGCTGGCCCTGTCATTGGTTAACTCTCAACAATGAACATAATCACTTCTATAAAAATTCTACAAGATCTTTTTCTAGCACAGGGGTTTTGAGCCTACCCGGCAAATTCTGTGCCCGTATTCCCGAGCTATATTCCCAGTACTCTTCACTTTTGATGGGACAGGGTCTCCCTAAGTTACCTAGGCTGACCTTGAACTCACGCTGTCACTCAGGCAGCTCTTAAACTTTAGCTCCTCCTAATTCCCAAGGAACTGGGGTCACAGGCCTGTGCTCTTAGGCCCAATTTATTCAAGAATATTTGCAAATACAGTTTGGGCGAGGTGTGGTGGCCATGACACTAAGCAAGTTTATCTCAAGAGTGGCTGACATAGCACTATTACCTTCCGGCCACAGTTGTGAACCAGGGCTTCAAAAAATGCCATGTAAATCTCCGGCACAGTGTGATTCCATACTTCTTGGCCTAGATTGACAGGTAGGTATACTAAATAGCATCTTCATTTAAAAAAAAAAAACAAACAGTTTATTATCAGCACAGGTGAAGATCCACTGCCTCCCCAGGTGCCCAGCCTTCCTGCCTGAGCCTGGGGAGCTACTTTGTGGTGGTCCCCCATGTTGGGGCAATGTCCTTATTCATCTGATTCCAGTCTCATTGCTCCTGGCCCGGGGCTAAGCTCCACCTCGAGACGCCATAGGTATGCTTTCCTCCAAGCGACTGTCACCTCCAGCATCTGAGAAAACTCCACCTCCAGAGGCTGGGGCCACGTCCACTTGGATGACACCATGTACTTGGGAGAGCTGTGGGCTGTCCAGGCTGGCAATGAGCTGGCGGGGGCCTGGTCGCACAGGCACAAATGTCTGGCGCAGCGTGACTGTCTCATTACCCCCGATGTCCCTGTAGACAGAGACAGTATCAATGAGCCTTGAGTAACTCAGGGTAATGTCAAGAGCAAAGACTGACCCAGAGTGGCCAGGAAGCAAAGAGCGAGAGGCGGAGCAGCCATCCAGGCATTCCTGGGTTCATCTGGAATCTACACCCACAACCCCGATAGGGCCTCCACCCCAGGCCACCTCCACACCCAGCTGCCAGCACCTGGCCTCCTCCATTCCTGCTCCCACCTGGACAGAGACTGCTGACGCTGTCCACAGGCAGAGGCCTAGACTGCTTTCATCCCCCCTGCCCCTGCTCTAAGCCACCCCATCTCACCAGGGTTTCAAGGTCAGGGGCACTTTAGAGCAAGACATGGAGGCCCAGCAGGGATCCCAAATGCTTTCAGTTTTGCCAGAATAGCAAGCTAAAGAAATGGGCCACAGCTGTCCTCACAAAGAGGGGAGAGCTTCCGGTACCGAATTAACAGAAGGATGTCATCCAGGGAAAAGGTCACCCCAAGCATGGATAATTGACACTTTTTTTTTTTTTTTTTTTGGTTTTTCGAGACAGGGTTTCTCTGTGTAGCTTTGCGCCTTTCCTGGAACTCACTTGGTAGCCCAAGCTGGCCTCGAACTCACAGAGATCCACCTGACTCTGCCTCCCGAGTGCTGGGATTAAAGGCGTGCGCCACCACCGCCCGGCGATAATTGACACTTTTAAGATGACAGGTTCTTACATTTCTCTGTGTGTATGTGTGTGACCCAAGCATCAGTGACCTCCTCTCCTCAGAGAGCTCTGAAAATCAGGATTTCACCAGACTCACTGGCCATCTCGCCTTTCTCCAGTCCACTAGTCATGGGGAAGTGCACTAAATCCCTCAAGGGTTGGGCTTCCTTACTGACAGAGAAGTCAACTCCCTAACCTGACATACAGGCTCATTCTGACTCAGCTCCCACCCTGGCGTCACCCACCATTCCTCCTCTGGAGCAGCCCCATGGCGGATCTCTCCCAAACTCACTCATGTTCTGCGGTGTTGACCATGCCTGCCCTGAGCTCCTAGCTCTGCCAACTTCATCCCTACTCTTCCTCCAACTTCATCCCTACCCTTCCTCCAAGTCCTGGCTCACACCACTGCCTCAGCAAGGGCTCCCCTGAGTACCTCCTGTCCCCAAGAAAATGAGTCTCTCTTTTTTTCAGGGCTCTTCCTTCAACCTACAAACTTTATTCTTTTATTTATTGGATTTTTTAGAAAGGGTCTCATGTGGCCCAGACTAGTCTCAAATTCACTATGTGGCTGAGGCTGGCCTTGAACTCTGAACCCTTGAACCTCTGCCTCTCAAGTACTGCAATTACAGGTATTTACCATCCCACCTGACACCCTGCATTTTAAATATGTTCATGGCTCATTTAAATGGAGTCAGTTCATGCCTGTTAGAATATCTCCTGATTCTTCATAAACCTGTACTTCTGATTCCCATTCCAACCCAAGATTGCCTTGGGGAGGGGTCCCCGTTTTGGCCACTAGACCCCAAGGGAGTGAGCCAGCTCTCTAATTCTGAAGGTGAGGGTCCCCTGGGCTGAAGCACTTAGCGTGGGGACTGCTTCTGAGGGTCCCCTGGACCGGTGTCCTCACTTGCTGGTTCATGAGACAGAATAAGTGAGATGAGGTGGGTGGGTGTCATGATAGGAAGTAAAAAATGAACCCATAATTCCACAGGTCATGCTTTGACTGCCTATACATTTGTGCTCTTAGTTTTTCCCGTTTCGCTATAGACGGGAGGTGAAAGGTTACTTAGCCTTACAGTACCCTTCAAAAGTCTACTATAATTGAGTTGTAATATTTCAGAAGTTAACCTTTAGATTACAACCACTAACATTATCTCCCCACTCCCAAAAGAAGACCCTGCTAGCCAGCTTCCAGGTGGGAATGTCAGACTTTTCCCTGGACTGTTCTTACAACCCAGGTGAGGCCCTTGCCGCCCTGCTGTGTCTGAGTTTAAGCTGATAGCAAGTCAGCTGTAAAAGCTGGGCTGTCCCTTAACTGCCGGTTGGTACTGAAACTCTCCTCAGCAACAGACATCCCAGAGTTCTCTCTCCTCCTCCATCCCCTCCATCGCTCACAGGCAGGTACACATACCTCTGTCTCCTTTGTGGCATGCATAATTTCTAAATGACGCTGACATTATCGTCCACTTGTTGGTTTTCCTTGGTAATGAATTTTAACTCTAAATTGCTCCAGCCTTTTCCCTAAAGTCAAACCTACCTTTCCAGAATAGACACCGGCCAAAGGTTTAGAGAGAGTGTGATTCCGGTTCTGGGGGAAATTCCCAAGGACTTCCAGCCTCCCCGGTGACACAGTCAACCGGAGGAGTGAGTCCTGGAATGTTTATTAAGTGGCCAGTCACCAGGTTGGCACACCTTGCGGTGTAATTGGGTCCCATACCACAGTCTTTGATGTGTACATGACAGGCAAAGTGACACCCATGGAATCTGATGTGTCCCCTTGAGGCTACCAAGTGTCCTGGAGGCTCTCTGCTCTAGAATCATAGCAATCAAGAAGCAGCAGAGTGTTCAGGGAAGGCTGCCAGACCAGGCATCACCCAGCTCTTGCAATGGAGACCTTGACTGAGAGGGTGGGGCCGGGAGACCATTCAAGCCCTGCACACAAGAAAGGCCAGCCCTCCTAGCACCGTGGTCCTGTCCTTCTGGTGGGAGCAGCCCAAGAGTCAAAGACCTTGGTGAACCTGCCAAGGGTGTACGCCTCTAGGGAGCCTAAGGCAAGAGACGCCATTGTGGTGTGAATGCAGCTGAGTGATGATGTCCCAGGACCCATCTTACACTCTGTCATCTGAGCTGCCAGGAACCCTTGTAGGGTCTACTTTGTGATAGCAAAGCCCCTGAGTTCCAGGCTAGGCCAAAGAATCAGACAGTGAACTTCCTCGTCGGCATGAAAACAGAAACGGTGGCTACCAGCATGAGGTATGAGGGAAAGGCAGGCTGGATGGACGCTCTACCCTAGGCCCTCTCATAGCCCCCCTTAGAACAGGACGCCCACTCCTGTCAGGAGAAAGCTGCCTTAGAAGGTCCCCGGCCTTCTCCATCCCTTCATGCTTTTCCTGGGAGGGGTGGGCCGCAAGTGTCTGTGCCAGATGACAATAGCAACAGGCACAGGAACGTGAGTGCCCTGTGCCCTCGCGGGGCCCTGAGCCTCACCCATCGGAGATCAGATCCAAGCCGACTGAGGGCCTGAGCGCCAGGGCTCACCTCTCTCTGAGACCAGCCTCAGTCCTCACGGCACAGACCATGCAGCAAGCTAATCGTCTGGGCCGTTTGTGCCACCGAAGGGGAAACAGAGCCTGCCCTTAGGAGCTGTGAAGCTTCCCCATGGGGTAATGAGGGCAACAATTCAAAACTGACTAGTAGTGGAGACTAACTAACTATACCACATGCTGAACTAAACAGCCCAGGGGCTTTTGAAATTGTCACTGTGCAAGTGAGCCCCCACAGGCTTAGAGCAATGAGGACACCTGGCCAAGGGGACCTAGTCAGGAGCGGGGGAGCAGGGGCTTGAACTTAGAGATCACAACTCTCTTTCTAATTATACCGTGGTCTCTAACGTACTTTAAAGGGCCTGTGTGATCTCCAGATGAGATAACATTCCTGAAAGTGCATGGTCAACACTTGCATGCTTGGCAAATGCTAGGGATGGGCTACTAATGGTTCCCATGTGAGCTTCAGCTCCCTAATTAGTTGAGGTAGGGCAGGGACTTAGTGCAACACGAGGTACTCAGCCGGTCTTGAGCAGGGGTTGGGCTGAGTTGGCTTGAGCGGCCAGAGATGGCCTTCTGGCCTCAAGCTGCTCTGTGGGGTCCTGGCCAAAAGGAGAAGCAGAACCCAGGCTCAGGGCAGCCTGGGAGGAAGGGAGGCTGGCCACAGTTAGAGAATCAGACTCACCCAACGTTGAGGACCTTGGGTCTCTGTAACCCAGAACCTTCGAGCCGGAAGACAACGTTGGTGAGGGTGACGGGCAGGGGGTTCTTGAACACGATCTGTACTTCACATTCCTGGCCAACTACTGCTGCTCCCAGTAACTGAAGGAAACAGAAATCCGCCCCTTATCAGAGACCCTGGCCAGACATGTAGGGCCCATACTTCGCACCCAAAGGAGAAACATGTTAGAATTGAAATCTCTCCAAGTCCTACAATATGTCCCTGAGAGAAACCACCTCAAAAATCAGAGGGGAGCCGGGCGGTGGTGGCGCAGGCCTTTAATCCCAGCACTCGGGAGGCAGAGCCAGGCGGATCTCTGTGAGTTCGAGGCCAGCCTGGGCTACCAAGTGAGTCCCAGAAAAGGCGCAAAGCTACACAGAGAAACCCTGTCTCGAAAAACCAAAAAAAAAAAAAAAAAAAAAAAAAAAAAAAAAAACCAGAGGGGAAACTCATACCGATTCTACAACATGAGGCAGCCACAGAATCAGGCCTGAGAACCCATTTTACAGATGAGGAGACTAAGGCCTGGTCTGGTCCTTAACCTTCTCCTAGAAGGCTCATCAGGGGATCTTGTTTCAGGCTCAGTGCTCTCCCCTTGCCCATGATTCTCCTTAGCCTCAGGCTCCTGCTCTCTATTCACCCCTTGGGTACCAGAAAGCCACACTCACCGTAAGAGAGAGGTCTGGGGTGCGCAAACGGAAGGTGTGCTGCTTGGCTAGTACCTGCCCACTCTCCTTGACATGGCCTGAGACATTGAGCAGCATTGCCCCCTGGTCCACAAGGTGGGGCCTGTATTCCTTGTAGGCCACAGGCATGGTCACAGAGTCCGCTGGGAAGAAAACACATAACAATCACAGGCCTTCCCCAGATATACCTCCCTGTGCTATAGGGCCTCCATGTCCAAAGCCAAGGTGCTTGGACGTCTAGGGGCAGGGCTAGGGAGGGAGCACCATCTAGGGGCAGGGCTAGGGAGGGAGCACCATCTAGGGACAGGGCTAGGGAGGGAGCACCATCTAGGGGCATGGCTGTGGAGGGAGCACCATCTAGGGACGTGGCTGTGGAGGGAGTACCATGTAGGGGCATGGCTGGGGAGGGAGCACTTACAGGCTCCTGGGGCCAGTGCCACTTCCTTCTTGGTCTCCTTGAAGGTAGACCCAGTGACACCAGTGTAGTAGGTGACAGAGAGGTAGAGGTGTAGCTTCACAGTGCGGCGGCTACTGCCACGATTGGTCAGCACCACAGAGACTGTCAGATCCTGTCCCATCACAGCGTCCTGGGCCTCCACCTGCATGGCCACGTCCTCAGCAGAGTCCCGGGTGGCGTACACATTGGGTTTGCTGCCATGGGCAGCAGCCTTCTCCACAGCTCTCCGCTCTGCTTCTGAGCCTGGGGGTTGAGGTCAAAGGTGAGTTTAAGCCATTGCTGGGGTAAGCCAATGCTCTGCAGGAACCCTCAGCCTGGAGCTGGCTGGGCGGGGAGAGTGTCACCTTCTGGGTGCTTATAGGTGTGGGTGATGTCCTCGCGCATGTTGGAGCTGATAGCCTTTGTGACAATGAGTGTGCCGATGGCTTTTTCCTCCACATACACGATCTTGAAGCTGCCATCGTCCTGCCGCTGCCAGTATACCTTGTCACTATTCACCTGTGGGAGAGCAAAGAACAGCAGGACGGAGTGGGCCAGTCTGGGGCAGGCTGGACCCCCAGAGGCCTCTTCCCTCAACCCCAGGAGCTGCAGGCAGGACCCAACTGGGAGAGTTTCTAAACTGACCCAGCCATAGTCAGAGAGCAGGGAGGAAGCTGGTCTAGGAGGCTCCTTGCAGCCCATTTTGGCATTAATAACAGTTTTCCCTTATGCTTATTCGCTGGCTTTACAACGTATGAAGCAGCCCCATATCCATTATCTCTTTTGATCCTGAGTACAGGAAGCAAGGCAGCCATTATTATCTCCTTTTTACGGTTGAGGAAACTAAGACTCTAGAATGAGTGACGTGCCCAAGGTCACACAGCTAGTCAGTCAGCGGTGAAGTCAGGACCAGAGGACTCAGGCCTAAAGCCAGAGCTCTGGCTGTTTCAGACTGTTTGCTGGAGGAGGCACCTGGAGCCCAGCCCTCACCTCAGCAAAAATGAAGGGTGTGTCATACTTCATGTAGACTAAGCCGTTCTTGATGGACTCCACAGAGCAGGGGCCACAGCAGAAGATGCCTGGGAAAGTGAGGCAGGTGGTGGGTCTAAGGAGGCCCAGAGGGCAGGGTGGGAGTGGGAGGGGCCTGGGGATAGCCGGGCTAAGTAGACAGACAGCCTAATAAGCCCACTGTCAGCCCAGTCTCTGCACTGGCTGGCTGCTCTGTGCACAGTTCTCAGAGTTCAGGACATCCTCCCCCAATCTTTCATCACAATCAGTTCAGGGCCCGCAAGGGTTCTGGTTGGCTGTGATGCTGCCATTACTATTTCAGAAACAGCTCAGCTGTGCAGCACCCTCGGACCTCTTTACTGCAAAGTGAGAAGAAGGATGGTGGGAAAGAAGAGACTGTCCTTAGGATACTCGGGCGGGCTTCTGAGAGAGGATGAGCTGGCTGGAAGAGGCTGGCTGGGACCGAAAGTGTAAATAGGAAATGAGCACTATCCAACAGGAAGGAATCTTAACACCGAACGCTCTGGCCTCCTTTTCCAGATGGGGAAACAGGCTCAGCCAGTGAGGTAGCTGCCGGCATCTTACAGACAGCTGGGAAAAGCTTCCATTTACCCAGGGGCTGGGTGTCGGAGGCATGCTCCTAGCCCTCTTTGATACGTGGTGTCTATTTAATCCTCCCAATCACATCCTATGGCACACACACACACACACACACACACACACACACACACACACACACACACACAGAGTATTCTATAAAGAACCCAGCACACAAAGGTGTGAGATGCTTCCTTGCCAATATCACTCGTCCAAGAAGTGACCATGGTAGACTTAGGTCCTGGCCATCCTGCCCAGAGCCCTGGCCTGACACCTGCCCCGTTACTTCTTCGAGTTGGGTTATGCAACCTAGGACCCTTTTTACATAGATGATTGACAGGGAGTGGTCTGGGGAGTGGCCAGAAGAAGAATGGAAGTCTGGCCACGGCTATCTACTCTAGGAAGGTGGAGGTGAGGAGGGGCAGCTGGTGGGACAGGCCAAGTTACCTGGAGGTAGACCCAAAGCCAGAGGGAGAGGAGGCTGTGTGAGGGCAGGGTGGACATCAGGTCTCACTGCTATGGAGAGTGTATGTGGGTACAGAGGAGAGATAAGCAGCTGGCAGGTCACCGCACCCCCGGCCATGGCAGGGATGATACAGAGGTTTGTCCTTTGAACCTGTCTGAGCCCTGATTTCTGTATACTGTACATGAATGCAGTGAGCAGGGGAACAAAGGGAAGGGGAGCCAGGGTTCCCTCTTCTGGGGACCCAGACAAAGTTATCTACCTCCAAGAGCCACCGTGTACCACGCAGCCCATTGGCACAGAATGGGTCCCAAGGATGAGTGGCCTTAAGAATCACCAAGGGAATTTTTGAAATAGAAGTTGAAAAAGACAGGTAGTAGAGACTTCCTGAGCATGCTCAAGGCCCCAGGTTCAAAACCAGGACTGGGAAGAAAGAGATACACCCATCCTTGGAAATTCCAATGGATCTGTTTTGATTATCATATTTTGGGGTGGGAATCCCCCAAAATAGAAATAAATAACTTTTTTTTTTTTTAGAGCTGAGGACCGAACCTAGGGCATTGTGCTTGCTAGGCAAGTGCTCTACCACTGAGCTAAATCCCCAACCCCAAAATAAATAACTTTTATACCTTATGTTATTCAATTCTATTCCGTTTTCTCCTTCCATGTACAGATTTATTACTTATAATCTTTTCTTCGTGTGTGTGTGTGTGTGTGTGTGTGTGTTTATGTTGGGAATTGAACCCAGTCCTTTATGACTTTTCAGACACACACACACACACACATATATATATATACACACACACACACACACGTGTGTGTGTGTGTGTGTGTGTGTGTATGTGTGTGTGTGTGTATCCTTTCATAAATTATGTCTGGAATATGTAAGTTAAAAAGCAATTGGCTTTTCAGGGGGAAGGAAACTTCTTACTTAATATTCTTGAATCTTTTTTTAACTTTTGAACTGAGTATATTCATCATTATAAGTTATAAAACAAAATTAACTTTAAAAATGAAATTAAGTCGAGTAGCTAAATAAAGAGGAAAATCAACTAATGGCTGCATGGTGGTTCAGTTGGTAACTGTAGGGTTAAAGGATTTGGCTCTCCAGTCATGTCCTGGGTTAACACTCAGGCATTTGAGGAGGTGTCAGGATAGGGTCCAGGCAAGGCCTGCCTTACCACTGCTGGTCTCCTGGGGTGTGGCATCCACAACCTGCCACCCATCAAAGCCTGAGGGCAGGTCTGGCCTCTTCATCCAGCAGTCATTCCACACGTGGAAGTTCCTAGAGGGGTGTGGAGGGAGCTCTGGGCCTCAGTTTCCCATTCAGGTCCCCCCAGCTCCCATCCCTAACACGGCTCAGCATCAAGCTTCAGGTCATCTTTAGGACAAGTGGCAGGCCACCCCTCACCCTGTGCTCACCAAACAGAATCATGGTTCAGATGCTCAAGGGGCTTCATGTTTTCATCAAAGTAGATGTCCATAGTGAGGGATGTGTCTGTGTCGTGGGCAGAGTTGAAGTTGGTGACAGTTCGGGTGGCAAGGCCCAGGCATCGCAGCACTGTGGAGGAGCCAGGGTTAAGGGCTGGGGCAGAGCTCAGCTGCAGGTGTGGCATCAGCAAGAAGGAAAAGGAAGCGGAGCTTGACAAGCTTGGAGGGACCACCAGGCTTAGGGGTCAGAAGACCCAGGTGGCCTTGGGTTACAGAGCAGTTTGGGTTACAGAGCCACCTGCTTGGCTCAGGCCCTGGCCATTGCTTCTTCTTTCTCTCCCTTAGGCCTCTCTCGGTTGTTAACACTAATTAATGATAATTAAGGCCATTCTATCATCCACCCTTAGTGGCACCCTATCCTGTAGCCACAGCTGGGCTGGGCAGAAATGGAACCCTTCCCTCCTTACACAGACCAGGCTGTTCCTGACCCATCCCCTCTACTACCTGTGGTGGTAACACCAGCAAAGACCCAGCATTGGCCATAGGGGACAGAATAGCCGGTGCGCAGGTAGCTAAGCAGGATCTCCACGCTGCCCACCCACGCTGAGGGGTTGGTGCCTCGAGAGTAATCGCCAGTCCAGTTCCCAATCAGGACTCCATTGTCATCCAGGGAGTTCACCTGCCCAGGAAAAGACAGGGTGTGGCTGGGTTTGGGGAGGTGCTCAGGATCTTCTGGATTCCCCAGCCCCTAACCCTTCAACCTCAGGAACTAGACATCAACCTACACCCCACCCACCCCTCCTCCAACACACCCGCCCCCCCACACCCCTTGCTGTAACACTGGAATGTGAATACTGGGTGTGCCAAGTTTGGGGTTTGGCTCGCATTCCAAAGGAGCTGGAATAGAACGTATGAAAGGTGGGGTGGTACAGGCGGGGCAGGGGGGGGGGGGGTCGGGGAGAAGGGGAATGAAACCCCTTTCCCCCAACACTCTCTGTAGGGACAGGGATGGCAAATCCATAAAGGGCAGGGCAGGAGGACACAAGGGTGCTCACCATGGCAGAGATGACCCGGCAGACGCTGACTGGGTCCCCACGACCTCCATAGGGCATCCCTCTCCGATCCAGGATGTACAGACAGGCATCCAGCACCCCATGATCAAACTGGAAGGGACGAGGGCAGAGGTGACCACAGCTCCTCAAAGTGATGCTCAAGCCATAGGCTAGCATCCTGCTCAGTCACTTCCATCTCCCTTGAGTGCACAAGAGCCAGCCCAGCCATACCTGGCCATAATTCCAGGTCCGTTCACCAATCTGTGCTTCTGTTCCATAGTAGATTCGTCCAGACTCGTTAAGCACATATTCTTGCCTCCAGTCTTCATGGTCCACGTACACCAAGTCCTCTGTACCCCCAAAAAGCACACAGCAAATTCTATCCACTTTCTTCCTGGGCCCTACCTTCCCCTTAGCCAGGTCTGCAGAACTCATATCCACAGAAGAAAGTGGGGGTGGGAATTCTTCTAGCCTGACAGGATTGCTTGCTCCCTCTAAGGAAGGATGGCTGTGGCCAGGGCCCTTCATCAGAAGTGAGGTGGGTCTCTTTTCTACAGGGGGGCCTCCATCTCCTCTCCTGGGGTATGTGAGTCTTTTCCAATAACCAGATGTTCAGGCACCCACCTGGATCCCAGGAAAGGAAGCCCTGACCTACTTGCCCCCTGCTCTTGACCCCAGCTGGTTTACCTGGGCACCAGGGGTTGAAAAGGATGTAGATCTCATTGCGAGGGTCGAAGGGCAACTGGAACTCTCCAGCTTCTGAGCGTGTGCGGACAGTGAATTGAAATTTGCCGATGATGGCATTAGGGGAGGTGTGGACGCGGAGGTTGAGGTTGTGTCCACTGGCCTTGGTCACTTGGGCCTTCCAGCCATCGCTGCCCCCCTTGCCCACCGGGATGATCACGTGGGTACCCTTGCCCACCTCGGGACTGTTTCCTAGAGGAACAAGATCAGCATTCAGGTAGTGAGAAAGCTGCTCTGGAAATGGGAGAGACACTAAGACTTCCTTCAGCCCCACCCCAAATGTCTATGAGCCAATATGTGTGTCCCTAAGTGGGGTTACCACACCAGTCTGTGACAATCTCCTCAGAGCAGCATGGTGGCCGCCCGGTGCTCTCCTGCATGTCAGGGCAGAGCCCCGGTCCAACATCCCAAACCTGTTCCCCTGACAATGAACTCAAGCAGGGAGGGGAGACTGGGGCCGCTGTCACCCACTGACTCCCTCGCTGTTCCATTGGACTGAAGGAAAATTAAGTTGAGTTCATTTGCCCCATAGGAAAGAACACTCCAGATACCAAAGGGTAGTGTGGCCGGCTCCCTTGGGGTCACAGCTTCTAGAGCCCAGAGCATTTCTGGAGGTGGTAGGGGTACCTGGGAAATTAGAGGCTGGGGTGTGCATGGCTGGGCTGTAATCAGAGGGTAAGAAGAGTCACCCGCCCCCAGCAGCTGCATAATCACCAGCCTGGGCAGTCAACGGTCACCCAGCAACATGGTGAGGGAGGCACCTGCCTTGGGCCATGGCATGGGGAGGCAGAGAGATAGACACATGGGGGCTAGGGGAATGAACATGCAAGACCCAGAAGGAAGGGCACACAGAACCAACAAGGCTGGAAGGCACAGGCCAGGGCAAAGAGGAAGTGCTGTGAGACAGATGCCCCCGGAGGCTGGAGGACAGCCAGCTTGGGGAAAGCTCAGCAGCACCAGGGCCTCCTTGAGATCCCCACTAGGGGAACGCTGAGAATCTTGCACCTGCCTCTTTTGGCAGAAGTGAGAAGTGCCAGGGAGGAGCTTAAAGACCTCTCTCACCTAGCAGCGGCCCTTCCTCCAGGTCCAGGGCCCTTACCCCTCTCCTTCCAGGCCCCACTCACCAATGAGCAGCTCCAGAGCAATGCGATCAGAGGACTCGTATTCTCGGTTCAGGATGAGGACCATGTGGAAGGGCTGCCCACGGCGCACAATCAGCTCATCATACTCAAACTCATCCGTGTGGTGCTCTCGGCGGTTCTGGTCTGAGCGTGAGCACAGCAGATCCACGCCAGTCACAACCAGCATTCCCTCTGTAAAGCCGGAGTCCTGGGTCGGTGACGAGTCCACAAGGAGCCCAGACCTTCCCCCCCCCGGAAGTCGTCTAGCCCCCTAGAGATGCCAGGATAAATCTTAGACCCCACCAAGGCTGTTCGCCTCTCCACTAAGGTGGACGGCCTCACCTCGGATGGTGCCATCTCCAGCTGCGTTCACAGCGCTGCCCCGAGACTCAGGTCTCCGGCCACCCCGAGAGCTGGACCCCCGGCTTCTGGAGCCAGAAGGCTCAGGCCCCCAGTCATCATCAGCTCTGTTCCCGCAGGAACAACAGCTGCAGCAGCGAGCCCAGAAGGAGCGGCCTCCTCCTCGGCGGGAACGCGAGCGTCTGTCTGGCTCTGGCTCTGGCTCTGGCGACGGCGTGGTAGGGGGCTGCCAGGGGTTCCCACCCCAGCGGCCCACGTCTGAGCGAGGACCTTCCATTGTGCCTGCGAAGAAAAGGCAGGGGATGCTTTAACCCACTCAGATCTCCTGTGCCCAGGATGCCCATCCTACCCATCCAGAAACTCTATTCAGAGAAATTGGTTCAGTACCAGCTAGGTGACTGAGATAATCTTATTCTAACCCTGAGATGCCCCAAAGACTGCATTCAGTCACCCAGAAACAGCACTCCATACTGCAGAGAAAAAAAACCCTTCTCTTCACCTTGCTATAAACACTCCCAAATCACATCCAAAAACAATGTCCAGTGGAGAAACTCTTGAGGATCCATCTGAGGAAACACTCTGTTCCCTAAGTGTACACCTGTCCCGGCCCCAAACCCCAAACACTGTACTGGTCCCTCCACCTGCTGGCTTCTCAGTTTAGAGGTCCAGCCTCAGGACCATGGAACAGAGTTCTCCCCATAAAGACAGGTAGGTGGCTTGGGGAGCAGGGTCCCCCACATTCCTCACATCAGGCCAAACTTCAGGCAGAGCTGTGGAGAGGGCACAGCAGGCGTAAGCAGGGTGGCCCCACGAAAACCGGGTCTCAAGCCCACAGCAGGTACCCCTGAAGAGCGTTCCTTTCTGAGCCTGGGCTGTGTGTCCCAACAGCCACGACCTGCAGCTCAGCCCTGGGGTGGACGCTGGAGCCTCTCACCTGGCAGCGGTGCTGGTGATGGCACCACTGGGTCCCGGGCCGGGGTGGAGCAGGACAGGCGTATGGGACGGGACCAACAGGCTGGACGCAGCCACGCGAGTGGAAGGTGTAGGGCGGGCCGGGTAGGTGGTTTATGAGGGGAGGGTGGGCGGGGCTGAGCTTCTGGGAAAAGGGGTAGTGTGGTTGCTTCATCCCTCGTCGGCGGTCAAGAGGCCAGTCTCTGGGGGCTGTCCCCAAGTAGGGGCGGGACTTTCTCCTTTCTAGGAACTGAGATCATGCTAAGGAGGGGGGTCGGGCCAAGTCCTGTCAGACCTGGGGCTGAGGTGAGAATCTTGCCACACTGCGTGTTCAGAGAGCAGTCGTGAAGGGGGATCCTCTTCCACGCACAGCCCTGTAGGGCAGATTTATTTCCAAGCTGGAGGCGCTTACTGAGGCTCCTGCTGCCAAGCTCTCTTGTAGTACCCACCAGGCTTGGCCTTGTGGAACGGGTCTCTGAGCCAGGAACTCATTTTTGCCAGGAAGATCCCAGTACCCCAGGGTGCAGACAGATGACATCAGCGGTCAGGCCCTCAAACTGGCTCCACCTGCCCGTCCCTGACCAGCCAGCTCTACCAGATCTTCTCACATCCCAAAGCATACTGCACCCCCGTCCGTCTCTCCATCCAGCTGCTCCACAGCCCCCAGAATGAGTGTCCCCTAGTTTTTCCTGTCTCCTAAGTTTGAGATTAAGGTGGTCAAAAGAGGAATAATCTTGTTTCCCCTCCCAGCTGGGAAGTTTAGGTAAGGTTTAGGTCTGAGTGGGCGGGGTGTCCTCTCCAGGCTACGTGGTTTCCCCTCTTTCACTGAGAGCATCTTGGCAGTTGGAGGTGAGCATTTCCCCTCATTTCCAGCCTGGAATTCTTGGGAATCCCGACCAACCGGCTCCAGGAACCTACCTTCTGTACTTCCTGACTCTAGTTCAGGCTCTGGGAGGAAACGTCAGATGTCATTAAGACCACCCCAAGGCAAAGAGGGGCCAGGCATCTGTAGGGAGACTGCTTGGGTCCCCGGCCAGAACCTCTTACTCTATCCCACTGGTATTCCAGCTCTACCAATGGGCCACCAATCAGAAAACAGTGAAAACAGGGTTGTCAAAAGAGACCCAGGAACAGATGCAGCAACAATGGCTTTGGAAATGCATCCTGGGCAGAGACATCTCAGGAATAGGAACGGACGCTCCAAGGTCTCCTCCACCCACGCTGCCTTTTTGGTTTGTTTTGAAATGGTTTCACGTAGAGCCCCCAGGCAGATCTTGAACTCACAACAATCTTCCTGCTTTAGCCTCCCAAGTGCTGGGATTACAGAAGAGGGCCAACAGACCAAGCATCGTGTGGGTTTTTCCCTGGTGAGCTGGCAGGCCCTGGAACCTAGCAGAGGTTTTACGCCACTTCCAACACCCCCAGCATACACCGGTGGAAATCAAAATTCAAGGCTGGTATGTGACAGGTCAGCCAAAGGGCTTCGCTGTGAGATTGTTTTGTGTATCACTCTGGATACGAGAAGAGGCAGGGCATCAAGGGCAGGGTATGTGAGCACACATGAGCCCAAGCAGGTCCCAAAGAACCAGGAAAATGCCTGGTTTGCCAAACTCTTCATCAGTCATCCTCTCTCCCCACTAAGTCAAGTCTGGCTCAGTGCCCTAACCCCTGATTGTACCCGGCAGCTTTCAAAGCCAGAACACAGTGCACTCACCTCAGTAGAACCCCATCTTAATACCATGGCCAGGCCTCTGTTTAATCATTTCGTATTAATACAGAAACAAGAAAAGCAGCTAAACCACTAAAGCAAGGTGTTTAGTATCTGGCTTCAGCACGCAGCTCAGTAACCTGGGGGAAGTTGGAACATTTTTTCTTCAGTTGGAATGTTTGAATCTCTCATCCCTGAGAGCATGTGAGGATCAGATGGGATCGGGTATTCCCAAAGGCCTTTGAACCATAGAATATAATTCACAGAGACCAATAGTGTTGTTTTAATGGGGTGGGGCAAGGTATCCTGACACATTCTTTCTGGAAACTGAGACTCTGAGCCTACTCAGTTGTGAATAAAATGAGTCGGGGCAGAGAGAGTCTGAAAGCCGCAGGAGTCACGGGAGAAGTTTTCACCACCTCTTCCAGCTGGTCACAGCTGTTCTGAAGCTCAGCCCAAACCAGAACCTGATCCCAACTCCTATCCCAGCCCCGAACCTGGAGGCAGGCGCCAATCCAGTTCTGGGCCTGACTTCAGTGTAACACTGAGGTTCCGGCTCTCCACAATAGGAGGAGTACGACAGGGGAGCAGAGCCACACCCCAAGGTCCTTCCCTCCCGTCTCTCAAGGTGCTCGGTGGTGGTAATGGAGGAAGTGGATATGGGCAGCAGTAATGGAGCCTGGCAGCCTAGAGGGGCCTCTCCATTCTTTATTCAGTCCCAATAAGTTAAAAGGTAAGGGTGAGGGCGGGGCCTCCTAGGTGAGGATACTGCTAACAGAGGGCAGCATTTCAGTCAAACGCTCCAAGATGCCCCCTTCCTGGCACAGTGAGTTGCCCTGGAGGTTGAGAAGAACTAGTTTGGGGCAAGAGGCAAGAGGCTGAAGTGCTGCAGGCTGATGGAGGCCTTGGGCAGAGGAGTCAAGGAAAGCTCAGTAGTTCTACCCCGCCCCACGGTCTGCTACCGGACACCCCCAAAACTGGAGGCTGCTGCTTGGAAGCACGTTTGATGGTCTCTTACTCGTGTTCCTGGAGAAAATACAGCTCTTAGCAGATTGTAAACGGCGGCTAAAGAGGGGGCTGTGGGAAGCAGGTCCTTGTGGGATCATCAGGAGATGTGGACGGCGGCCGTCAAGTGGCACTTACTACTCACAAGGGGCTTAGAAGTGGAACGTGGGTCAGAGGAGCTCTAACCTCCCGTTTCCTAGAGGAATCAGAGTTCACGATTTTTAAAAAAATACGGAACTTCCTGATTTCTAGACTACTATGTGGTCTGTGAGAATCCTGCAGGCTCCTATCTGTGGACCTTGGCTTGAGAAAGTCATACTTCACAGAACCCCAGAGCAAAAGCTAATAACCACCCCTGACAGTCCCAGGCTATCATCTCCCCTCGGCTCACCCTGCCCAAGCCCTGTTTCCTGCCCTGCCTTGAGATGACCCTGTCTGTGTCTGCGGTTTGTCCCTCTGTGGCCTGCTCCTCACCCTCTGAGCTGTCCGCAAACAGACAGAAGGATACGGTTATTGCATAGCAACAGCTCCTGTAACCGGGGAAGGTTAGCCACGCCATCCAAGGACTCTAGGGCGTTATCACTGGCCTGCAGCACCTGGGGAGCAGGAATTGGGGAGGCACGAGGTCAGACAGGCAGCCGGAGACTGGTACATGTCATGGAGGAGCCCAGAGTGACCAGCTTAGGTGTGTGAAAAAGCTCACAGGGCCAGGCTGGGTGGTAGAGCGGGCTGGGAAAGCGGTTACCCCCAAGGGCCAGGAGGTCCCGGACACTGCTGTGACACAGGCAAGCTTCTGAGTGGAAAAAGAGGAACAGGGCCACCCCAGACCACAAGAGAGGATGAGCACTTTACCTCAAGACAGCGCAGAGCACCTAGGGCTGGGGGCAGAGCTCGGAGACGATTATGTGACAGGTCAAGATGAGTGACCAAGAGCAGCTGCTCCAGATGGCAGAGCACTGTCAGATCCTGGGAGTGGGGGGAGGGGTGAACAACTCAGCAGGCGCGAGGAGATCTTTAGCCACCTGTTGTGTGGTCCACATGGACCTCAGAAGACTCTCGCTAGAGGCTAGCAGCACGTGAGAAACAGACAGGCCAACACACAGGAGCACATGCCACGTTAAAGATGGGACAGATCAGCGGTTGTGGTGGGGTGGCTAGTGGGAGTGGACCGGAGAGGAAAGCTTGTGCGGAAGGGACAGCATGGTGGCATGTCCTACAGCACATAGAACAGGTAGGAGCGGGCCTGTGGTGGGCTGCAGTGATGAGGTAAAACGGATTTGTTTAGATGACTAGGAAGGCCGGGCGGTGGCAGTGATGGTGGTGGTGGTGGTGGTGGCGGTGGTGGTGGTGGTGGTGCACGCCTTTAAACCCAGATTCAGGAGGCAGAGGCAGGAGGATCGAGGCCAGTGAGTTTGAGGTTAGCCCGGTCTACAGAAAGAGTTCCAGGACAGCCAGGGCTGTTACACAGAGAAACCCTGTCTCAAACAAACAAAAACAAACAAACAAACATTCGTGACTAGGAAGGACTAGAAACAGTAAAAGTAGAGCCTGGAAGGCTTCCAGAAGTCTCTAGAAACTATTCAGGTTTTAGGTTTTGGGGGCCCTGATCCAGGGTGAGAAGTATGGGAAGGCACAGCATAGGTAACGAAGGGCCTTTTTTTTTCTTATAAATTTTTTGTTTTTCAGTAGTAGGAATTGAAACCAGGACCTTATATATGTTAGGCAAGTGATCTACCAATGAGCTAGGTCCCTAGTACAGCTTTGATGATTCAGGATTCAGAACCAGGGAACACATAGGATGATGAACTGACTGACTGAAACAAAAAACAAAGCAAGACCTAGCAAAGGAGGAGGTCAAAAGAAAGGTGATGGATGGATTCACCCTAGCAGGGAGGAAGGCACCCGCGATAAAGACGCAGGCAGCAGGCAGAGGCCTAGGGAAGGAGCACGTGCTGAGCCCATACCTTGTGGGCCAGGTACACCACACGCACGTCCGCGTACTCCATCCTGAGGACACTGTTTTCCAGCAGGAACTTGCTGCGCAGGTCATCCAAGTAGGCTGCTCTCATGGGGTCCACAGCCTGGTGGGGAAGCAGGGTTATGTGGGTCAGCTGTCTTCCAACTGCCCACTGGGCGTCCCCTGGTCTGTTTCCCGAGGCCCAACTTGCTTTGAGGGTGTGGAAGTATTGCAGCGTCTCCTTCTCATAGAGGAGGGGGTCCAGGGCCCGCATCAGCAGGATGATGGTCAGCAGGCACCCTGGGGAGAGGGCAGAGAAATCTTTGCAGTCTCCTGAGACCCTCTCCTCAAGAAGGTTCCCTGGACAGGCTTTCTCAGTGTGGTTGGTTCTTGGGCGCTGGCTCGGGGGACATCCTCACATTTATTCTCAGGTTCCAGCTCCTGTAGCTCCTTACAGGACTCAAGCTCAGACTGTAGCACTGTGGACTTTTCCACCGACAGCTCACACCTGAGAGTGGGCAGGTTAGGGAGGGCATGCGGCCACCCCCCTCCCCCAGGCCCAGGCCTCCTGCCCCAATCGCCCGGTGTCTAAAGCCCCTCTCCGCGCATGGGTTCCTTCTCGTCACCTGAATAGCTGCTCCTCAGTGGCTGAGTCTCGGCACCAGCACTCCTGGTGGCCTAAGGAAGAGGGTAAGTAGTAGGATGGGACAGTGCGGGGAGAGGAGAGGAGGCCGAGGAACTGGTACAGCGCCTGGAGCTTTAGACAGCATCACCTTTGAAGAGCACGCACTCCTTCTGGGCATCACTTGCTGTCCAGATGACGCGAAATGTGTGCTGGGGCAACTGGTCATTGAGAGAGGCGGCGGGCAGGTCACAGAGCTGGGGGGCACCGGGTCAAGGAAGTGTGTGGCCTCACTGCCCTTCCGACTGTCCCACCCTAGTCCCGCCCCAAGCCCTCATCTCTGCCCCACCAATTGTGGGATACCCAGATGTGGCTGGGCCGGTTCCTGCCATCTGGAGTCCTCCACTCTACTCTCAGAGGGGCCTCATCCACCATGAGGAGCAAGGTCCCCACTCCGGAGCCCACCTGCCATGGGGGACAATGAGAGAGGCCTTAGCGCTAACAGCCTCAGCCTCAGAGTCCCATGACTTTTTTTTAGGAAAACCACGTGACTCACTCTTAGGGGCCGAGAAAAGCAGACGGACAGACAGGCCTCATCCCGGCTCACGTGCAGGCAGCGCAGGACATCCTGGGGCTCCGCTGGGGGAGAGACAGCCTCGGCTCACCTTCAATCTTCCCTTCCTTCTTAGTCTCAAACACCCTGCCCCCTCCCCGCTGCTTACCCCGACCCAGGAGCCATCGGTGATAGAACCAGGCACTCTGATCATTGGGGTCGGTAAAGAAGGCGTTCTGCACCAACTCCAGCTCTGTGGGGACCAGGGAGGCATGGGGTTATGTCAGCATGCAGGGAGGATTCTAGTCATCTCAACGTCTGTCTCTCCAGCCCCAAAGTTCCACTTGTACCCTGGCCTCACACAGGAATCAATGTCAGTTTTATTTTTCCCATCGGATACCCGAGCTCCTTGAAGCCAGGAACTGAGGGATATACACACCCAAAGACCAGCAAGGAGCTCAGTAAGGCCCACTCAGAACAGGGTTGGACAGGCATCAGGACTGGGGTGGAGCTGCAGAATCCTTATCAGGATCCTCTAGGCCAGTGGTTCTCAACCTTCCTAATGCTGCGTGCGACCCTTTAACACAGTTCCTCATGGTGTGGTGACCGCTCCCCCACAACCATAAAATTATTTTCGCTGCTACTTTATTAAGTGTAATTTTGCTACTGTTAAGGATCATCATGTAAACATCTGTGTTTTCTGGAGGTCTTAGGCGACCCCCCCCCCCCCCCCCCCCCCGTGAAAGGGTCTTTTGACCTCTCAGGGGGGTCTCGACCCACAGGTTGAGAGCCAATGTCCTAGGCCCACTTACCTTTCAGCAGTACGTTTTCAGGGAGGCGTCCCTGTGGGCCAGAGTCTGGCTGAGGGTGTAGCTGGGGCAGAAGGCAGGAGCGGTAATGCCAGGAAGAGTAGTTGGAGAAGTTCCGCGTGATGAGGCTATCAGTGAAGGCCAGTTCCTCTGCTGGGGCGACGGCAGCCTGAGCAGCTACAAACCGCCGATAGTCCCAGCAATGAACTAGAGGGGTTGAGAGAGGGAACCCATCTCAGAAGCAGGACGAAGAGGAGCTACTTCCCCGAGAGCCCCCAGGATTCCCTCAGAGAGCCCTAGAAATACTTCGATGCAAACCACAAAGGCTGCATCTGGCCCGCCATCCCTTTTAGCACTACTACAGTGGATGTCGGGCTGGATCCTGTGCATCCCTCCCTCCCGACTCTGGGCCTTAATGAAGACCCAGTATCAGGATGTGGGGCACGTGAGGATGTGGGGACAGGGCTGTGAACACTTACAGTTCCGCTCATCGACTTCGAGGAAGCGAGCACAGAGTTCCAGCTCCCGGGCCCAGTTGGGCTCAGGCAGGCGGCCTAGCAGCCAGCAGCGGTGGTGCCAAGTGCCATAGGACTTAGGGTTCACACGCAGACAGCTCTCTAGGAAGCCGAGCTCTGCCTTCACAAGAGCATCCAACTCTTCAGGGGACCTGTACCGCAAGAGAAAGGCAGGTTAGCGCCTTTCAACACCCAACCGCAACCTCTCCCTCCCTTCCTGCATCTGGTCCCCCCACCATCCTATCTCCATGCCCCACCCCGGCGACCCCGTTCCTCCTCCAGTTCTGCACCCAGGCAGGACCAGGGCAGGGACCTGAACCACTACGTACTTCTGCGTTTCTAGCTGCTGGAGCACTTCTCGGCGACAGTTCCAGAGGGTGGCAAAATCAGGGTTAGCTCCCAGAATCTGGCTTGTCAGTTCTAACACTGACTCGTCCAGCTCGCCAGCCTGCCGCTAAGAAGACAGGTTTACAGGGTCAGAGACCACAGCAATTTCCCAGCTCTAGGCTAAACATAAATCAGAACCACCCTATGCAAATCCTTCTACAGTCTCACCGGTATTTTCTCACTTAATCTTTGCAAACTCTTAGGCAGGATGTACAATTATTAGCTCCCTTTTACAGCTTCACAAACTGAAGACACTAAGAGTTTCTGTGACTCGCCTAAGGCAACGCAGCAACAACAGACAGCATTCAGATTCGGATCCCTGCAGATTGACTTTAGGGTCTCTGTGTTTTACTTGGGGGTTGGGTCTACCTCTGAGGGCCCCACCTTCTGGAAGACAGCTTGAGTGGCTGACTGGTAGAGCTTCAGCTTCTGCTCCCGTTCTAGCCTTTTGGCTTCTGCCTGCTCTTCGGACGTCTTCACCTTCAGGCGCCCATGCTACAGGGATGGGTAGTGGGATGAGAACGCACGCTGCCTTGCAAGGGCAGACTTGCAGAAGCCCCACAGAGACCGCCACGTGGGGAGAGGGCGTGGGCATGCAGGGGCAAGGGGCTGGACTCAGGGGCCTCACCATGGTGTCGGCTCAGCGTTGGGGGCAGGGGAGGGGTCCAGACGTAGCCCGATCAGTCTGCGGAGAAAGATGTCAATCACGGAACCCCGCCCCCACAGCCCCGCCCCCAGGTGTTTCCCGGAAGCTGCCAGCGGGCCTGAGCGAAGGATCCCGGGGTGTAAAGAGGTCTTGCGGCTGGCACTGCGAGGTCAGGAGGAGGCGCTCACCCCAACCGGAGCCTCGGTACGCCGGGCCGAGCCGACGCACACACCGCTGCCGGAGAGAGCAGTGCCCGCCCGTCCCGCGGACCCCAGCACCCCCTCCCCTTGCGGGCGAACCCACCTGCTCTGGGAAGAGGTGTCGGGACGTGCAGCCCGGCGCCGCCACCGAGTCCCAGCCTGGCTAGAGAGGCTCCGGGCCGTGTGAGCGCGAGGCGCCGCGCCCCCTGCAGGCTCGGGGAGGGCGCTGCGTGCGTGTCATCAAGTTCTTCCCAGCGCCCAGCCGCCTGTGAGCGACTGGCTGAGTTGAATGTGGGAAGGACATGCTCTTCCCGTTAGCAACTCAAACTGGAACCTAGTTGAAGAAGTTTCCCCAACAGCCTGACACCAGCGAGTTCTGGCTGTCAAAAAGTCTCAGGTTCCTTCCTGTTCTCTTAATTTCATCCACATTAATGGTTCCTTATCGGGAAGGTGATGGTACCCAAATCTCTGGCCTAGATGCCCACAAGCATAATGATAACGATAATAATAATAATTATATACCAGTTACATATGCATTGACATATTCAAAAGCCCATTGGAAAAAGCCAGTGGTGGTGCTTGTAATGTCAGCGTCTCAGGAGGTTGATGCGGAAGGTTCTAGAGCAGTGGTTCTCAGCCTTCCTAACGCTTTAACGCAGTTCCCCGTGTGGTGACCCCCAGCCATAAAATTACTTCGTTGCTACTTCACAGCTGTGATTTTGCTACTGTTATGAATTGTAATATAGATATCTGATATGCAGAATAGCTGATATGTGACCCCCCCCAAAGGGTTTGAGACCCACAGGTTGAGAACCACTTAAACTCTAGATTTTTTAGAGTTTAAGGCCAGTTTAGGTAATCGTGAGATTTCTAATTTTTAGAACAATTGAGTGTAACCTATATGTCCTAGAGGTATTTTAAACTATAAAAGCTAAAAGATACCGTTTTGTCTATCACACCTGAATGCTGACTTTATTTTCGTTGTTGTGTGGAATGCACTGTTTTCTCTCTGCTTTTTAGTCTCCCTTTAATATCCTCTCTATTCCAGTTGCCACTAAGGTTGTTGAAATGTTCTTCATCCCAACCATGTCCCCTCTACTATCAGTTCATCTTTTGTGCCTGGAAATGTACTTAAAGTGCCCACTGTATAGCCAGCCAGTCTTTTTCTAGGTCCTGTAACCTATTTTAGAGGAAAAGAGACGATTTTCCTGACCTTGGGTACTTCGGTCCCAGTGGGGAAAACATTTAAGTTACTGGTTATCTTTGCTCCTGGCACTGTGATGGGAGCTCTGTATATATGTGAATTCACACACACACACACACACACACACACACACACACACACACACACACACAGGACCACAAGTAAAGGCAGAAGCACGTGACTGAAAACATGACTCATCCTAACACGGTGGCTCACACCTTTAATTGCAGTGCTTGGGAGGTTGAGGCAGGAGGGTCCTGAGTTTGAAGTCAGCCTCTGCTATGTAGTAAGCTACTATTTCACAATGAATAAAATTAAAAAGTTGGATGTCTTGGAGAACACCTGTAACCCCAGTCAGTACTTGGGAGGAGAGGAAGAATCTCAAGTTTGAGGCCAGCCTGAGTTAGAAAAGGAGTTCTGGGTTAGTTTCTGCTACATAGTCTCAAAAAAAAACCAGTAACAGAAGAGAAATTGTATCTAGATGCTTGTGTTGACGTTAAGATTAAATGAACTATGTGAAATTCTTTGAATAATGACTATACTGAATAAATGTTCAGTAAATAATAATATAGTTATTATTTTTAATTTTCCTGACAAACATGTATGAAGCCGAGGTCCAAAAAGATGAATAGCTTGCTGAGGGCCACCCATGTGGAAGTAGCTAGATAAGACTCAGATGTGATTCTGATCAAGTCTCACCTCATCCGTTTTTGGTTGATGCTGTTTGTTTGGCTACTTCCAGATTGCATCTCTTGTTCTGTAGGTACTCAGACATTCAACCAGATACCAGGAACACCGATGCCAACTGGTGCAGGATTACCAAACACAGTGTTACATCATAGTCGCTAAGGGAGGAGGGGAGGAGGTGGGCGAAGGTCGAGGGAAGCACGAAAGAGTATTTAATAATTAGCAATCTTGAAACCGGCAAAGCTGAGTCAGGCAGGCTTGAGAGGAAGTGAGTCTTGTGAAAAACATCTGCATTCAAAAAGGTGGGGCCTGTGTTTTGGAAAGAGAAGGCAGGAAGGGCATTTCAGACATGTGTGACGTGAAGATGGGGGTTAGAAACCAAACAGACTTAGCTGACTGGCAGAGAGAAGCTAAACCAGGTGCCCTCACAGATAAGGACAATAGAATGGGTGACACGCCTCTTGATGGCTAGAGGCGTTGTCATGAGTTATATTTGGATTTCTCTGTGAGGTAGTGGGAAGCAGGCAGCTGGTTGAGGGCTGTGCTCTGATATTTGAAGAGATTTGTTTCTGCTTGTTGTGAAAGCAGTGATGTGAGCATCAGTAGTGACGAGTCAGCAAGCTTAAGGCACCGTGGACATATGTAGGTATCATCATCCATATCCCACAGTGAGGAAAGCGGGGCGTGGGGGTGGGTGGAGGTGGGTAGAGCAGCCGAGCGCACACACAGGACTTCCAGGGTCCCATGCAGTCAGAGACCACATATAGTTTGGAAGGAAGGAAGAGACCACGAGCCACAGTCAAAGTTGGGCTGGCAGCCATGCTCCAGAGGTAGGGGGAGTAAGGAAGAGGCAGGTACTGAAGTTGGGTAGTCTGCAACATAAGGCAGTGTGTGTGTGTGTGTGTGTGTGTGTGTGTGTGTGTGTGTGTTTTCAGTCCCCTGATCTTTAGCATCAGGGTGGGATGCCACAGAGTGCTAGGCTTCAGGGATCCAGTTCTAGACAAAAAAAAAACAAAAAAAACAAAAAAACCTTCTGCTTCCTTGGAGGTTATGGTTAGTGAAGCCCTGTGTAATAGAACTCTCTGTGGCAGGGCAAGGTGGTGCACATCTTTAATCCCAGCACTCGGGGAGCAGAGGCAGGTGGATCTTTATGAGTTTGAGGCCTGCTTTACATAGTGAGTTCCAGGCCAGTCAAGGCTACATAGTGAGACCCTGTCTCAAAACAAAAACAAAACAAAACAAAAAAAAACCCCAGCCAAACAAACAAAAGGAGAAAGGGTCTTTCACTAAACCTGGAGCTTGCCACCTCAGCCAGCTGTCCCCAAGCTCCTAGGATCTCCCTGTCACTACCCCCTTCCCCCACTGCTGGGGTTACAGATACATCTAGGCTCTTAAGTGGGTGCTGGAGATTTGAACTCAGATTCTCTCATTTGCATAGCAAGCACTTTACCCACGGAGCTGTGTCCCCAGCCTGTAACCCCCACTTCCCGTTTCGTTTAAGCACTGGAGATCATAGAGCCTTGTTGGTACTAAGCAAACAGTACCCTTAGTCCTCTAACTTTCTGGACAATGAAAAATGTTTACTCTCTGCTTTGACCAATACAGTTATCATTAGTCCCATGCTGAAATGTGGCTAATGTCAATGAGGAATTGATTTGTTATTTTCTTTTTTGTTTTGTTTTGGTTTTTTTGTGACAGGGATTCTTTGTGTAGCCATGGCTGTCCTGGAACTTCCTCTATAGACCAGGCTGTCCTGGAACTCAGAGAGATCCGACTGCCTCTGCCTCCTGAGTGCTGGGATTAAAAGTATGTGCCACCACCCAGCTGAATTGTTATTTTCTTAAATTTTTGATAAAATTTAAATAGTCACTGGAAGAATTGAAAAGGTCAGATCTCTTGAGTGAGTCTTAGGTTTTGGGGTGGGACAGGGGTCCATGGGAGCCTACGGAAAGGACCCCTTATAGCTTTCCTGGCAGGAAAGAAGATATATTACTTGTTTCTTTACTTGGTATACTGTGGACAGGTGGCTGAGCACAGACAGCTTGTTCCCATAACCAGAGTCCAGGCTTTGAACCTAAAACTCCAGTAGTGTTTCCTGGACTCATTTTTTTTTTTTTTTTTTTTTTTTTTGGTTTTTCGAGACAGGGTTTCTCTGTGTAGCTTTGCGCCTGTCCTGGAACTCACTTGGTAGCCCAGGCTGGCCTCGAACTCACAGAGATCTGCCTGGCTCTGCCTCCCGAGTGCTGGGATTAAAGACGTGCACCACCACCGCTCGGCTCCTGGACTCATTTTAAGCTAAAGGCACTTGTAGATCTCATTGCTGATATGTAGTAATGTTTTTCCCCTTAAACTTCTGGTGTTTCTTTTATTCTTCCTACAATTGTAAAATAGGCACTTTTTTTTTTTTCCCGAGACAGGGATTTGAAAGACCCTAGCCCTTCAGGCTTACACCCCCAAGCCTCAGAAAGAGAGAAACTTCAAGCATCAGGAAATGAGAAACTAAAAATCTAGTTCCAAGGGCCACCTGACCCAGCCACTACTCAATCACCCCTGTAACAATATAACAATGTAAAAAGATTTCTGTTAAGAGATGTGCTCAACTGTGACTGGGATAGTTGCAGGTGTTTCAGGAAGGACCACTGTGACCTGTGTTTAAGCTCCACTCCCGCCCTGATACCCCCCTTGAGGTTTACGTAACTGTACCCCCTCTGTGATCACCCTGTGATCAGGCCATGAAATTGTATGGGAATTGTAATCTTGTGGGTTTTGTAGGTTTTTTTTCCTTTAAAAGCCCTTATGGGGCTGCAGTAAGATGCGACTCTTGCTCTTTGGAGCAGAGTTTGCCCATCTGTACAGACATTTCTTTAATAAAATCTCGTGCTGTTGCATCAACTGGACTGGAGTCTGGGTTCTTGGGGTGCCCATTTGAGACCCTAAACTTTGGGGTCCAACAGTTTCTCTGTGTAGCTTTGCTCCTTTCCTGGAACTCATTCTGTAGCCCAGGCTGGCCTCAAACTCACAGAGATCCACCTGGCTCTGCCTCCCGAGTGCTGGGATTAAAGGCGTGCGCCACCACCGCCCGGCCCGATGTGTGTATTCTTAAGACATGTGCCGCCAGGTGGTGGTGGCACACGCCTTTAATCCCAGCACTCGGGAGGCAGAGCCAGGTGGATCTCTGTGAGTTCGAGGCCAGCCTGGGCTACCAAGTGAGTCCCAGGAAAGGCGCAAAGCTACACAGAGAAACCCTGTCTCGAAAAACGGAAAAAAAAAAAAAAAAGAAT